TCCTGTTTGTTGTGCTCCAGTTGAAATTGTAGGTTTCGTCTAGTCACGCTATGCATCTCGTATGTCAGTCTCTGCAGTGAGGGAAGACTACAAAGCACTTTTCTCCGCCTTGTCCTGTTTTAACAGGATTGTAGGTGCAGTTGTGTCATCCTGTGGGTGTGTCAGCTTCCAAAGCAATGTGCTGCTTCTGTCACACACTAACACACACAAATACACTACTCTCTTTGCCAATAAACAGTGCAACTCTGCATGCACACATCATTTAGAAAGCGCAGGAAAACTGTCAACTGGTCAAAGATTTCTATGATTCTTTGAGCCACCTCAGCTTTAGCAACTCTGATGAGTGACACATGACTCTGAGCCAAAACATTACAAATATAAATCACTTAGCCAGTGGTGGAGAGTAACTAAGTACATTTACTTTAGTACTGCACTTAAGTACAGTGCTTGAATCACTTGTAATATTATTATGTAATAGAGGTATTATGATGGCGATAAGCTGCTTTGCACATAAAATTTGGATCTGCACTTGTAAAAGCTACAGTTGCCAAATTAATGTAGTGAAGTAACATAGTTTTTTTACCAAACATTAAGTGCTTAAGAAGAACTAGAAACCAGCAATAGAGCAGACAACAGAGACTTCTGAAATAATTAAACTGTGCACCTTTTTAGGAATAATACATGTAAACATATACAGTTTTCTTGGTCAGAGTGTTCTATAAATAGGCCAGCAACACACATAACAACGTTAAGCTTCACTGTTTTTCCTTGTCCTTGAGCCTGAAGGCGAGGCCCTCAACCAGTCAACCTAGTCAACCTACGTTCCAGCCCACATTTATGGTCAATAGCTCTCGGCAGCATTGAGACAGAGGCTTCAGATTCAGGCAGTCAAAATGACAGCTCTGCACAAGGTGTCTGGGCTCAGCCTCAGAGCCAGAGTGAGGAGCTCTTTAAGGTGAGGCACTTATGGCTAGTTGCCTCCCTGAAGAGGAATTCTTGACACATTCAACTTGAATGAGCCCCAGGTGGAGCTTAGATCATGCTGGAGGAATTATGCAACCTTAAAAGCTTTTAAAGTACCCTAGTTTATATAATTACAATCACATTCATTGGGCTTCTGATATATGTACATCAGACTAGCCTCTTCCACTCCATGTCTCCCTACTATAGACCCATTTTTGACCTTTTTAAGGGAGACAGGGGATCTTAGGAGATAGTAGGTCAACATTATATGTCAGAGTCAGAAAAAGCTTTATTTATCCCCTAAGGGCAATTCATTTTCTACAGTCACCCACTGCACATGAGCAAACATACTTCCCACACATCAGTAATAGAGGAGCGCAATAAGTGACGGATGGGGAGTTGGAGTTATGCAACAAGTAAAACAAGAAATACAAACCAGAATTAAAAGGGAATAAAAGCAGTTAGAGAACTGCAGTAAGTGCATGAGTATATTGCACATAAGACAATAAATAAATACAAAAAGAAAAGAAAGAAAAACTCTGCATTCAGCAGCTTAATGGCAGAGGGAATGAATGACCTGGAGTAACAGTTTGTCTTCCTGGGTGGGGGCAGATAACGCCGCCCTGGTGTCATAAGTGTGAATTCTTTGGACAGAGCATGATCGCTGCTGATGACAGTTTTTGCTTTCTGGAGTGCCTGTCTCTCCCACAGAGTCTAAATCAGTCAGCTGCACTCTGTCTGTGTGTCTGTTCCACGTTTTTCTCCTCACTGACTTGGTCAATCCATGTGAAATTTGGCACAGTGGTAGAGGGTCATGGGAGGATGCGAATGAAGCAATATTACACCAATTGGCCAAAGGGGGGCCTATAGCAACCGATTGAAATTGCAAACTTTGAATGGGCATATCTCATGCCCCGTATGTTGTAGAGACATGAAACTTTGCACAGAGATGCCTCTCCTCATGAGGAACAAATTTGCCTCAAGAACCCATAACTTCCGGGTATACAGATTTTCCGCCATTTTGAAATTTTTGAAAAACACTTAAAATCGATCTCTTCCTAGGAAGTTTGACCGATCTGCATGAAACTCAGTGAACATAATCTAGGGACCAATATCTAAAGTTCCCTCTTGGCAAAAGTTGGAAAACTTACTAAAACTGAGCTTCTATAAGGCAATGAATATTGCGGAGGGCGTGGCTCATCACATAAAGGTGTATAAAATCTCAAGGGTTTCACCGATCACCACGCAACTTTGTAGGCATATGAGCACACATAATCTGAGGGGACCCCTCCATTATTGACCCCATCAAACAAAATGGGGGCGCTAGAGAGCTAATTTCTTATCTAGGCCTAACCGCCTTATCGATTTTTACTAAACTTGGTAGATATGTAGAACAGGAAGCCTCAAGGTGACTGGAGAAATTTAACTCTAATTGGCAACTGGGTGGCGCTACAACAACAGAAAAATGCTTAAAAATGGCTAAAATGCGACCGATCGCTGTGGCTCCCCCTGTGGCCGAATGTTGTTTTTTTCTAATTTTTGGTATGACTAAGTCATGGTATGGTATGCTGTACATAATCACAGAAACTGTCAGTCAGTCGTTCTGTCTGTCCCACGTTTTTCTACTCACTGACGTGGTCAATCTATATGAAACTGCACATAGGCATTGAGGATTGGCATAGGTAGAAGGTGACAAAGCTCTCAGCAATGGATATATGGACTAGTTTTAGAACAAACTTTGACAATGCCGCTAAGACAGTTTCTGTCTTTCACTAACAAACTATTAAACCAGCACACAAAGGAGAACGTTAACAGGCTTTCAATATACAACAGGTATACAGTACACTATATATACATATATATATATATATATATATATACACATATTTATATATATTACATGCCACGTATACATCATCAGAAAGCTTGGGACCTGAAGATTAATTAAATGATATGCAGCTCAGCACTGTATCTCAAGTTTTTTCAAGTCATAAATCTGTAATAAACATTGTGTTTTGGTCAGGAACCTATTCAAACTTTGAAAGTTTAGAGTGTATAGGGGCTTAGAACATTATGATGGGAGTATATAATGGTCATTCCCATGCTCAGTTGTGCCTCATAGACAGCAAATTTTGTGTTGATACCATTTGTTACACAGATTTGGTACTAAATTTAAGCATTTTCTCCTGGCTAGAATTCATTTAGTGTTCATTGTTCAGGAGGTTTTCACCAGGAGCTGAATTATCCATGGAGGTCTCTTCTTCTCCAAAACAAATGAACCAGGTGATAAAAACCAGTAAAAAACACTGAATAAAGCAGTTCCACTTTACAAATCAGTATAGATAGACAGGTGGCTCGCCCACCACATGCTATCGTGCGCTCACCCTTTTTCTCTGATAACTTACTGTTCAGGAGGTTTTTACTGGGAGCAGAACTATAAAGCAGTTTCACATTACAAAACAGTAAAAGGCAAATGGTCCTCTCTGGAGCCAGTGTTTGGTCTGTCCATTCTGGGCTACAGTAGAAACATGGCCGTGAATAAGCCAGTCTCCATAAACAAGGACCCGCTCCTTATATAGATATAAACAGCTCAGAAAACACCATGATCCTTATTTTCAGGGGATTTTACACTAAATAAAATAGACTTATTATATTATAGTCCATGTCTGCCAACATATCCTCCTCAATCCTACACAATGGACCTTAAAGACACCAATAACTTGAGGAACACCGTAGAAAAATCTGTGATTTGGTATCAAAAACTTCTGACATTTGGAGATTTCTGTATTTGATTTTTTAGCATTGCATGGCGAGCACTTCTGTTCTGGAAACTGCAGAGAAAACCCTGTATTGTTGGTATACCTATGAAAAATCCTCTGAATGCCCAAAGTCTCTAGATTGTGTTTGTAAAGTTTCATGAGGCTCTGATTATCCCAGAGGCCATAATAAGTCATTTTTTTCTTCACTTCAAAAACTCCAGTATGCAGACATATTCAAATACAATAGGTGGAAATTACACTTTTGTACTGCATGCAAAAAAACTGCACGGTTTCCCCCCAAAACTGCAGGGGACTAAAATAAAGTGGGCATGTCTGTTAAAGGGGAAACTCATGGGTATCCATGGAGCCCATCTTCATTCAGATATCTTGAGATGAGAGCTCAAGGGACCCCTGTGAAAATTTTGCTTAACTTTGGAGCGTTATTCAATCCCCTCGCTGAGAAGCTAAGACAAGCTAATGACATGGCTGGTAGCCTATCAATGGAGTCCTTCTACTTTAATATGATACCAGTAAATTCACACTGGCTTCAAAAGTCAGCCTGCTGCAGCCTCTGACAGACAGTAATGTTGGCTGAGGGCGCCTGCTTCCCCATAGAGTTGCAGAGGTTTCCTTTCCATTCTGCAGGTCCCTTACAGTATACATTCCCCCTCTTTATTTTTGATCTGTTCTCCTGTGGGAGAAGTGGGTATCTTTTTTTTCAAAATCATAATCCCTTAAAAGCTATAATGAAGTGTGAAAATGAGTCAAAACAACAACTGGAATAGCCCTGCCGTGTCTTTAGCAATATAAGGTCTTTCTCAGGGAGGGGGTCTGCAGATTTAAGATTTAAATATCTGGAAACAGACCAGGAAGATGTGGCCCAAGGAAAAGGACATCTGGGCATTCTCAGCCTGCTGCCACTGTGACACTGACCGCTCTCACTTGTCATTTTAGCACAAATAAACTACGTTGCATGTAATCAGCCTATTAAGAGTAACTGTGAAGATTTCTTTCTTCATCTCATCAGGCCACAATGTGACATTTAGAACATCAGTATACAGTAACATGCTGTCATGTTGGCTGTCATCACCTGAGGCCATGTCTGGATAACTTGGGGCTGCAGCTGTAGGTCAGAAAGTTCATGGATCTTCAAATTTCAATTAACAGCCATAATTGACCTTTTTCTGTTGTACATGACCTGATGGCAGAGGTTAATAAAAGTACGTATTCTTCAGCAATCATTTAAGCATCATGAAATGAGATCAGTCATTCACAGACTTAGAGAAAGATATATTTTAATGACACAGCCGACAAGTGAGTGCCTCATAAGAAGGCCCACATATCCAAGTGTGCACAAAAGAAAAGTGAAAAAAGCCCAGTGGCTGTCACATCAGTGCCTACAGTGAGTAGTATTAAAGAACAAGTCTTTCAGCAACACAGCTGACTGAGAGGCCAAAGATTTGAGTGTGGAGAGATATTGCAATACATTTGTTATAACCACTGGTAACAACAAACTGTACATTATATTCTAATAACAACCTCTGTTAATGAGACGTACAAGGTAAAGATTTGTATTGATGGTGTAGATCATGTAGGTCCGTCTATGACTTTTTAACCTCATGTTTACAACAACCAAAGTGCCCAGCAGGGGGCAGTCATACAACAGAAATATCTGATAGGAGAAACTCTTAAAACTTATTTTATTAACAGGTTGTTGAGTTTGATTAAATTAGAAAAAGAATATATAAAGCAGCAGCAAGGTCTTATTCTGTCCCATGGCCCCATCTGCTTTTCATACATATATAAAAATAAAATATTCCATTAGTGATTTAGCTGTAAAAACGGTTACATACTGTAGCCTATATATTTTATATAACAGGAGGAAAATTATTAACTGCAGTGGTCAGTGTACGACAGTAAAGAGCCAAAAATACACATTCAGATTTAACAATGAGAGGATGGAGTCATTAGTGTGTGGTAGAAAGTAAACAAGAAACCCTGTAAAGTAGAGCTCTGTCATTTCACCAGTGTTGTCAGATAGTAAACACAATGTAATCAATGAGCTCTTGTGAAAAAAACTTAATGCTAAATGGCACGAAGTGAGAAACTACCTGTCACCCTCTATTATTAGAATAAATACAGGAAACAGCCGCCTGCAGACTGCCACGGCTGCAGGAAGTGCTCAGACGGTTCCATCGCTCTGAAAGACAAACAACATCAACATTTTTAATGTGGTTTACTCTGAAGGTGTAATTCATCTCTGTTTGCTAACACCAATAATCAAGTTACAAGCAGCTGCATAATTCACTGGATAAGGAGCTAATGTCAGATAACTTCAATTTATCATCTAACTCTGGAATTAAATGGGCAATAAACGGTATATTTATTTAATTCTAATTATTAGGAAGAATCTGAGTAAGTGTTTTAACAGGTAGGGATGCTTTAACAAATAAAACACACAACTTACTGCCAGAGACTCGCAAATTAAAAGCCTACAGCTATTGTTTTATTTTTCATATTAATAATTACTAATATATTTTTTTTGGTTCATCATCATCATCTTCATCATAGTCTTCTTCTCCTTTTCCTGTATTTAACCAGGTAAAAGTAAAATAAATCAAGATCAAAGTTCTTAATTCTGACAAAGACTACAGCAGATAAAATAGTGTTATAACAATAAAATATCTATTATGTCACCAATGTTTCATTCATGTCTGTGATTTTAGGGCTTTTCACTGCTGCTACAGTTTCACATACTACTACAACTACTACTACTAATAATAATAATAATTATAATAATAATAATAAGAAGAAGAAGAAGAATGAGAATGGGAATAAGAGGAATAATAATATCAGAAACGTTGAAGTTCCCTTCAAATTTATCCAATCCTTCTAACAAATAAACTCATCTGAAGTCATATCGTCTTCGACTACACACTGACCCCTCCACAGCAACCACAGCAGTCCCCACACAGACATCCCAGCAGGCCGTTCACCACTTGCACAGCGCACAGTGCCATCTGGATCAAACCCATGACCAGCAGCACAGAGAACAGAGAGAGATGCCAGGACACCACGCCCTGCGGCTCTAAACACATCGTCCAGTAGGTTTTGTTGGACAGATAGTCACTGGAAAGGGAGGGTGAAGAAGAGACAACAGGTTTTTATCTGTAGACACTTTCATCTTTTGAAGAGCACACCAGAGTGAGCTCAGTGGTTTTTTTCTCACATGCCTCCATGGTGAACAAAGAATCCAGAAATGGAGAAAAATTCTTGATGAATTGAAGTCATAGGGGTCCATATTTAAGAACAACAAAACTATCTCAAAACATCTGTTTACAAACTCACACACAACTTTGGTGTTTCAAAGGTTTAGTTCAGACCAAAGTGACACAGTAACACAGACAAACTAACTGATGGAGGCAGTGGTAGACCAGCAGCTCCCATGTTCAGCAATGTTAATTAACTAGGGATGCGCTATATTGGGGTTTTTGCCAGTATCCTATATGCCAATTTATAACAACTTATTTGGTCGATATAGATATCACTATATTTACTTTTTGCCCCATTTAATTTTAGTGATCATCAAGTCTGTTCTGTAGTGGAATTAACATCATATTATGCATGCATACTCTTATCATGATGACCCACCAGCAGATGGAGACATGAAAGAGAATGTTTTTTAAAGATTATTTTTCTGGGCTTTTGCCTTTAATTGACAGGACAGTGTGTGAAATGGGGAGACAGAAGCGGACGGCGGACGGCGTGCGGCGCATGGGCGTGTCCCAGTCACTTGCTAGTTAGACAGCTGGTTTTCAGACTGTGCGCCATGGTGGAGAGTCTAAAAGGGTTGGACTTACTCTGTGAATTAGTCATGGGTGTGTTTTGGGTGTATCATTCAATAAGCCAATCAGAGTGTCACCTCTCATTCCCTTTAAGAGAGGCGCACGACGGAGAGCTAGTTAGATGGCGGACCTACCAACTGGAAAGAATGAGTGTTTTACAGCTGAGGAGACGATAATGTATCTCTGTATCGACTGTCCCGTCACATCTGATGTCAGATCAAAGGGGATTGGCACCGTCTGGCACGTTTGGCACGCGTAATGGAAACCCAACCTGATTTGATTAATACAGCTGCAATCTAATAAGTTCACATCTCTCAGCCAACCACAAACAGCCACAGCATCAGATAGGGAGTATATATTCAGCATCTGTCATCTTAGAAAAGCCAAAAGAAAAGAAACAGAGTGAGACTGCGAGAGAGAAAGAGAGAGCGCGCGCGCACGGGAGAAACGCTGTCAACACGTTGTAAGTTATTCAATTTTATTTTAACCCAGGAGGTTAGAGAGCCCATCTCCCTCTCCAGCATCCTGAACCCCCCCGCCTGAAGGTGCAGGAAGGGCTGTTCCCGTGGCTGCACCCGGGCCCGTCTGGTCTGGCTGCGCGTGGGCTGCGGAGCTTCCCCCGGGTGCCCCCGGCTGTGCGGCCGCTGTGCATCCTCCTCCTCCTCCTCCTCCTCCTGACAAGATGATCTTCAGTTTTATGTTCTAAAAGCTTTTTTTTTAAATATACATTTGTACGTGGCTCTAAGTTTACGTTTTTAGTTCACAGAAGCTGGTTATTGTTGTGTTTATGTCATAATAAAGTTTATCAAACGTTTTCACATCTTTGATTTTGTGATTTACATGCCAAAATGATCACAACTCATTTGGGAAAGACAAGTTCATTTTACAGGCTATGCATCATCAGCCCGTGGAGGTCTGCTCGCAGTTGCGTATATTCGGACACTGCGAGCTTGGACCTCCCTGATTATGATGATCATTATTACAGCGATTAGATCATTCTGATTAATGACTGACCATTAAGACGTGTTTCTGATAAATATTGTAATGTGCACAAAAATAACCTTTCACATTGTGATCATATTTTTATTTGTTATCTTTTGCATATGTGTGGCTGCTCCGTGTGTGTCTGAGCAGAGTGCACGCGCGTTGTGCACCCGCCTAGAGACGCATATTACTAACTTGTTTAACAGCGAAATACTGCGCCGTTGACTTTAGACCAGGTTTTTGTTGGTCACTGGCGCATTTGCTTTTCCCATCATCTAACTAGCAACGCGCCATGACTGCGCCTGACCACTCCTTATTTTTAGACCAGCACACCCAGAGAAGCGCAAGTTCATTTGCTAGTTAGACGAAGAGGGCGCAGGGCGTGAAAATGACAACTGCGCTGGCAATAGCAATGACACTTGCGACATGGATTATGCGCCGTCCGCCGTCCGCTTTAGACCATCTAAATAGGGCCCTTCATCTTAAAGCCAATATCGGCCGATACTGATGACATGCCAATATTATCACGCATCCCTAAGATTAACTGTTTTTGTCAGTGGAGTCTGGCTCTGAAGAGAGTGTAGATAACTTTTTAGTTTAGTTCCCTGTTGGTAAGGGCTGTCTGTTTGGGAAATACTGAGTATTCAGCTGGATAAATGAGACTTGGATTATACTGCATGAGTTGTGTGAGAGTTTGTACACCAATGTTTTGACATAGTTTTGCTGTTGGTAACGTGGTTTGAGTTTTTGGATTCTTCGTTCATCGGAGGCATGCATGAAAGAAAAAAATCTCCATAAATTCTATGTAAAATGGAGCAAGTAACTGATATACAAATGATCATTTGGGGGATGAAGTATTCCTTTGAAGGATTAGTTAACATAAATTACAAATAAAACCAGTTTGTCAGACTGTTGCCTCCCCCTGAAGACAACCGAAGGGAATGAAGTTTGTGAATAAAGTTTGTTTGGCTGAAAACACTAAAATATTTGGTGTGAACGTTTATTCTTCATCTTGGGAACAGTCATTTGGAAAAATAATCTTGACTCAACGTCTATTTACAAGTTTTTATGAGCTTTTTGTTGCTGTTCTGCTGTGTTGTAAGACATTACATGCAGGTAAGCATCTTGGAGGAAAGACTGAAATCAAGCTGGGAGCAGTCCACCTGGGACTGGCCCTTTTAAGTCTGCACAATATTAGATAGCAAAATGCTATTGTCTTTCTTTTTCCTTTTATATCCACAACCAATCTGTTAGAGGAATAGTTCAAAATCTGCTGCTTTTTCCTTTTTGTACTGAGAGTGAGATGAGAAGATCAATACCACTCTCAGTTGGATCAGCTTATTTTCCAAATGATCAAACTACTTTTTTAAAGAAAAAAAATCAGTCCTAATTATGAAAATTAAAATCCAAATATGACACAATCTAATTTATTTCCAAGCAACTAAAAAAGTGGTTTAAATTTTACACTTAACAAAACAAGATGCCCATCTTTACACTGGTGGTTATGCTTATCATTTAGAATGGGAAGTACGTCTTTTAATACTAATAGGACTGTGTGTCTCACCCATTTGAGAAGGGAGTGTCCCAGATCTTGACGGTTTCATTGAAGCTGAACATACACCGAGGGCCGTGGTTTATGGCCACAGCAGAAACTATGACTGAGTAACCAGCCCCTACAACACCCACGGCTGCAAACAGTATGGAACTCAGCATCTACAGAAAGAAAGAGGAGCAGTCACTCATATTGGGAATCAATACTTTTAACAATCAGGCTTTTAACTTCTGTGATTACAATGGAGTTATTCTCTCGGTGTGCAGAGAACAAGCTGAGGGTGACAAGCAGAGCACGGTTGACACGAGCTACTGAAGTGGTGTGTGTATGTGTGTGTTTGTGTGTGTGTGCAGTGATCTAACAGACTTTTGTTTGCTGAATCTTTCCTGGACCCCACACACGCTCACACACCGACACATTCCTGCTGTATTGATCAGTATGTGTGTCTCTACCAGAACAATACCAGCTCTGTGTGATAAAATCATGTGAAACTCCCATCAGAGGAATTTCTTGTTACTGTTCAGCGATCAAAATCTCATCAATTTGCGTGTATGGGTTTTATTTTTTGGCATTTATTGCTGAGTAAATTATGAAAGGTGTGTACATAATACCATTGTGTTTGCTTTACATGCTCAGAGTGATGAGACTGTACAGTGACATTAAATAGAGCCATTGGAAGAAACACACCCTTCAAGCCTTAAAGCTTGATTGTCTCTCTTCTGTTTATTTAGTTTTAGTTAAGACATTTAGGGGGATAATCAGTTTAACCTATTTTCACCCCTAAAAACTAAAAAAGGAATTTAATAGAATATAAAAGTTGTGTTTTCTGAAGAAAGAGGACATTTTCACTGCTGTTGTGAACTGGGATCCTCTTGTGTTGAGCTCTGCTGTGATTTATGTAATATAAAGACATAAATGTGGAGCAAATGCAAAGCTACGGATCATTCATAAAAATACCTCACAGTAATAAAATATATAAATAAACTGCAACAACAGAATGAAAGGTCTGGTGTTGTAAATTGTATTTTATAATCTGATATTTGTCCAGATTGTTTTTTTAGATCAATTTTTTTTTTTTTTTAATTTTACACCATTTTATTGCAAGGACTTAAAAATAACACGTAACTACCATTCACATTATGTTCTAGGTCACACATATTGAGTAGCCTACTACTCTGAAACCGTGAGGTGTTCACACAAGGCCATCTTTTCACTCCATTTGAAGCTCTTTAAGCAACACTTTAGGAAAATTGAAGCTCTCCTTCATGCTGCAGGTTCTGTGCCTGATTGTCTGTAGCGTACGTATGACTTTCTGTGTTAATGGATTGCCTTTGTAAAGGATGTAGGTCCTTGGGTGTCATATGATTTGCACGTCTGATTGTGACGACCACATCAAAACTGCCACAGAGCCTCATTTGCAGCAGCAGGAGGCTCAGTTTAAAATACCTTTTTCTACTACGGACATTTTGACATGTCACAGCAGGAAAAACACAGGTGTAAATAATGAAATTAATGATGGCTGAATTCCATTTAGATGCCTCAGTTTAAGCTCCAGGTAGCTACTGTGCTTGCTAACAATCCCAATTACTTAGTTGCTCAGCAAACTTATATAATTTATGATGTTTCATTACTTCCTAATCCTCAGTGTTTTATTGGGTCTACTCATAGATAGTAGGCTACATGTTAATCGTTTGATTTTTGTTCCCCAACCAAATTTAAATCATCTATTTTTGCAGAATTATTTTAGGACCCATTCTGATCTTCCTCTCCTGTGAGCCTATTGTGGATTCTCGCCCAACTTTTGAAAGGAACAGCTTTGAATAATCATTTCATTATGGTGAGAAGAAGTTCAACAGTGAAACATCTCCTCACCGCAAATCTCCGCCCACAGCTTTCGTTGCCACAGCAACCGCAGCAGTCATTGTTCTTCAGACCCAGGAAGACCAGAGCCGGGAAGATCATCTGTTGCCCAAACACACCCCGAGTTCACACACACACACACACACACACACACACACAGATATAAAACAGTCAAGCAGATGATGAATTATTTGTTCCCCCGCTGTATGCAGGAGGAAATTGAACTGCATAATGTTCCACCATAATCATTAAGGTATGAATTATTTTATAGTTCCTAACCTTTCCATTTATTAGCGCTGCACTAATTTCTACCAGGACTGAATATTTTCTCTACAAATATACTGTCAGAATATTCTGAAAAATAATACAACCTATTTACACAAAGAGGCTTTAAACTGATTCATGATTCTTTAAAACATTTTTCTATTATAATTTAATGCTATTATAATTTCCAGTATCTCTAATGTGAACTCGCTGTAGGCATGAGATCTTTGGAAGTATCTCTTTCAGATGAAGCGCAGCTGTATAAAGGTGAAACAGTAATTGACTACCTGATCAGTTAATTGGTTTCTTTTTTTTTTCAGGCAGAAATGCTGAAGATTCCTCAATTCTAGATTCTGAAATGCGAGGATTTGCTTTTTTTCTTCATTATATGTGATAGAAAACTGAAGTTCTGGACGGCTTCTGGACAAAACAAGCTATATTAAGACATCACCTTTGGGTCTGGTATTTTAAAATGGGCTTTTTTTTCTATTTTCTGACATTTATAGAGTAAACAATTAATAGATTAATCAAGAAAATAATTGGCATATTCATCTACAGTAAAAAAAAAGGTGTTACTTGCAGCCATATTGAATTTTTTCATTGTATTATTTTTGTATTATTTATAATTAACTGTAAATCCATCATGACAAATTGCCAGATGCAAGTTACATATGAAATTCGAAAAACTATACAGGAAAACATCAGAAGAATCCAACAAAATTATCTTCAGCAATGATAAAAACAGGTTATATCACACAGAGTGCATCTTTATTGTACTCACCAGCACTCCAGATCCCAGAATGCCTCCAAAGTACCAGACTTCCTGCGTGATGTGTTCGCTCACCACAGATTTTCCCCCCGGGAAGAAGAGCAGGATGTTACACAGCACACACACAATCGACAGAGGCATCAGGCTGATCCCCAGACATTTGGCAAAGCCGCCTGAACACATTCTGACACTGATGCTTCAACCTCCGCTACAAGTAACAACTCCTACAGGTATCTCAAATCTCCCCTCAGGTTGATCTCTCAACTGAATTAGCTCAAACTGACAAAGCGTGGATGTCTTTGCTTTAAAACTGAAGATTTAAATCTGGTCCAGTCTTTGTCCACTCCAAGTTGTTCAGGAGAATTATAACACTCCACCTGTTGGCTTTTCTGGCTGAGTATTTGGCCTAAATTTATCTCCAGCTGTACCTTTCCAACAGTTTCTCCTTACACCTCTAAGCTTGGTTGTCTCCTCTAAAGTTCAGTCCACTGTGCTGGATCCTCTGAATGACCCTGTCTCCTCACCTGTCCTGTGTCAAATGTGGTTGATGCTATATTTGAGACTTTATAACCTGCCCCACCCTCACCGCCTCACTTTTATAGCAGCCAGCTGTAATATGGCAGGATAACACACACGTACAAACACACATGCACACGCTTGTGACTTCATGCAAACACACGCGCACACACAATAATGTGGGTTTACATAGCCGTGTGTGTGTATAGACAGACACACTGATGAAGACACAGTGGTTAATGTTCTACCATGTGTTTTGTGTACATGGAGACAGAGGAGGAAGTGACAGACAGGCGGTCGATACAGCGGGGCCCTCATGGCTGATCTGTACCTATCATGGTTTAGTGAGTAACAAGAAAGATTTCCTCATTAGTTGGGGCTGCCAAATCCCTGGTTCAACTTTGCATAATTAGTCATATATAATGTCTTATGATGTGTTACGGGCTGACAGATGTGAAACAGAGTAAAACATAGTACTTTTGAGCCATGATATCATTTATTACAATAAAATATAAAAAGTATTAATAAAATGCCCAAAAGAAGGCCACACTGAAGATCACCTGACCTGTGGTAATCACTTTAATCACAGGTATAACCAACTGGGCTAATATAACATGTGCATTCTGTAAGCTTGAGTTAACATTGATTTAAAATCCATCATAACATTTTTGATAAGGAAAAAACAGGGAATGCTGTGCTGGATTAAGGCACTGTGTAGGTAATAGTAAAGCTTTTCTCAATGTAAAAGTCCATGGTAAAGGCGGTCCAAAAATACATCCAAGGCACTGTGATTGTAAGTAAAAATCCTGTATTGATACATAGATAAACCAATACGACTAGAGAGTCTTCATCAGGGTCCCCTGAAGATGATGACTCTAGTCAAAACTGGACTTTCACACTGAGTGAGCTAGCCAGTTGTTGTGTTTTTTAACTTTATATAAATGATTTTTGTTGGCTTCATCACACTGTGACCTCTAGCATGCACTGGGCGGTTTGCAGCTGAGTGTGAAGCGGTCAGGATGAGAGTCAGCACCTCCAAATATGAGGCCATGGTTCTCTGCCAGAAAGCGGTGGATCGCCCCGGTTGGGAGAGAGTCACTGTCTCAAGCTAAGGAGTTCAAGTATCTCAGGGTCTTGTTCATAAGTGAGGGTAGAATGGAGAGTGTGATTAATTGGCGGTTTGGTGCTACTTCTGCAGTGATGGGGGCGCTGCGCTGGACCGTCATGGCGAAGAGGGAGCTGAGCTGGAAAGCAAAGCTTTAAATTTCCACTCTCCATGTCCCAACCCTCACCTATGGTCATGAACTCTGGGTAGTGACTGAAAGAATGAGATCGCGGATACAAGCAGCCAAAATGAGTTTCCTCTGTGGGGTGGCTGGGCTCAGCCTTAGAGATAGGGTGAGGAGCTAAGAGATCCAGAGGGAGCTCGGAGTAGAGCCGCTGCTCCTTCGCATCAAAAGGGGTCAGTTGAGGTGGTTCGGGCATCTGATCAGGATGCCTCCTGGGCGCCTCCTGTTAGAGGTGTTCTGGGCACATCCCACTGGACACACTGGAGGGATTACATATCTCATCTGGCCTGGGACCACCTTGGGGTCCCCCAGGAAAGTGTTGCTGGGGAGAGGGACGTCTGGGGTGATTTGCTTGGCCTGCTGCCCCCGCAACCCAGCTTTGGATAAGCCAATGAAAATGGCTGGATGGATGGATGATGGATGGATAATTTTTGATTTTGAAAGGTTCATAATGCTATCTGCTTTTTGTGCAGTAAAAAAGACAAACATGTACACCCAAATGATACATTGTCCTGTGGGCACTTCAATAAAAATGTTTTGGATCGGATCCTAGCCCTTTACAAAAGTTAGAAAAAATAAAAAATAAAATAATAGTAATAATAATAATAATAATAATGATAAATAAAAAAAAATTACTTGTTCCACCCTTCTCCCAGACTATTTGATGTCCCTACTGTCTGGCAAGAGATGGCATAGTAATTCTGCTCACCTTCTTTCATGTTATAATGTTACAGTTTGTCTGACCTTTCGTTTAATTTTTTTTCTGTGCTCTAAGAATAAGAATTAAATCAAATTTTACCCATAATTTTTGTAGATAGAGCGACAAACCTAAACTTGAAGTGAACTGGTCAATTTGAGTTGAGGTAGGTTTCCCAAGAATTTCTGTAATCCATCCCAAATTTACTAGACTGTCTTAAAACCTGGATTTCAGTTTTTGGGGTAGATGAGCATTTCATCCAAATGCAACATGGCTTGTGGTTATTTCTATTTTACCCAGCGGGGCCTCATTAATTTGTAAAGTATCTCTGTTATAGAAGCCCTCCTGATCTCTGACAGTAGTTATTAGTGTTTTTCAGGCAAAACAAATACCACTATGAGGAACAGATGACAAAGTAGCTTCAACTTTAATTTCTACTGCCAAAACCTCATCACCTATCGATGCAATCCGTCATCCTCTTTGCTGCTGTCCTTGTTGAGCCAAACTCAATCGATGCCCGAGTAACCGATCGGAAGTTGAAAGTCCACAGCAGTTAATTTCTATCCCTTTATTTTTGCTCTGTTGTTGCTAACACTCGCTGGTGGTTAAAGCGGAATGGATACCGACTTGATTTTCTCCTCTCGTCGGTCACCTGTGGTGTGTTTACACGGCTGTGTGGCGTCCAGCCAGCCGCTAGCTACCAACACAGGACTCGGTGAGTGAGAAACAGTTGCCATGGAGATCTTAAAACGTAGACAGGAACATGACAGTCTCCTCAGTAAGTTTCACAGTTACGTTAAGTTTCTGTTTTTCCACTTAACTGTGCCATTTTTTTTAAACTCATCTGATACATTCTTGAGAACAAAAAGCATCACTCTGTAATCGGGACCGGAAAAAACACCAGTAATTTGCAACATCATAAATGACAGGTAGTTAACGGTTGATCCAGTGAGAGCTAACAGCTAAATGCTAACTTAATGCTAGCTAAATAAGTTAGCTAACAAGCTGTCATTACATTTGCCACAAAGGAGAACTGGAGGACTAAAAACAAAAAACATTACACAGAGAATTTTGAAGTAGTCTGAGTTTATTTTCACTGAAGTTCTTAAGAGAGACACTTTGGCAACTTGGTGAAGAAAGAAAAGTTTTCATGTTTTCTTTCAGACCTCATTCTGTATGCAGTGCCGTAGCTCATATGCATTCAAAGGATTAAACCAGTTTTCTTGATTAACTGATTAACTGTTTTGCTTACAATATGTCAGAAAATAGGGGACTATATACTATCTGTTCAACCTCTATTTTAACATTTTCACTTTGCTGTTTTTGTCAAGCCAGTCGCCTTAAAAAAAAAAAGATATTCAGTTTATCATCATTTAAGAGAAACTAAAGCTAATCCTCATATTTAAGTAGATGACTGAGGAACTTAATGGCTATTTTGCTTGACAATGGACTAATTGTTTCACCTGCAGCCCGTACAACAAATCGTTTATTAATGGCAACAGTTGTTTAGGATTTAAGATTTTTGTGCCTCTGCACAGGTGATAGTGGCCGGAGGCATCATGTTTTTGGGCTGTCCACTCACCCATCTGTTCGACTCATTCTTGTGAATGGAATATATCAAAAACGCCCTGAGAGAATTACTTTAAATTTTTCCACGAATTAAATGATTAGATTTTGGTGGTCATAGGTCAGAGGTCAAGGACCACTTGTCTGTCTCATTCTCGTGAACATGATATCACAAGAATACCTTGAAGGAATTTCTTAAAGTTTGGTACAAACGTCCACTTGGACTTAAGAATGAACAGATTAGAATTTGGTGGTCAAAGGTCAAGGTCACTGTGGCCTTGTGTCCATCTTATTCCCGTGAACACGATATCTCAAAAAACCCTTGAGGGAATTTCCTCAAAATTGGCACAAACATCCACTTGACTCAACAAATAACTGATTATAGTTTAGTGGTCAAATGTCAGAGTGACCTCCCAAAACAAATGTTTTTGGCCATAACTCAAGAATTCTGATGCTAATTATGACAAAATTGCACATAAATATCTAATAGAATCAAATAATGAAGTGATGACATTTCATATCCAAAGCGTCAAATGTCAGCTTCACTGTGACATCACAATGTACTGCAAAAAACACCTTTTCTGGTCATTATTCAACTTCAGAGCTCAGGAAGAGAAGGGAAGACATTTGGTCAGATATTGAATTGGTGACACCTATCACCACTTTAAAACTGTGCTGATTGTATAGATGTTTCCATTCATTCTCAAATGGTATAAAAATACATGAATACTTGCTCATACTCATTGTAGGCTTATGCAGTTGAAAGTGCAGGTTGGGTTAAAGAGGCTCCACTGCATAAGCAGATTATACATGTCATATTCATATTTCAGTCTTTACATCCTCAGATGCACAGATGTTCAGACAGCCTGTTCGGTCTGTGCAGATAGTGTTTGTTTAATTTGTCCAGGTGCCTCTGAGATGAAAGGATTTTATCTTTTGCAGCTCACAAAGTAAACATAAGATGTGGGACATTAAGAGTGGAGGCAAAAATCTTAGAGTTGGATAACCTACCTCGAAAGTTTGTAAATTGTAGTATGCTATCAAAAATGACATACTTGGGTCAGGTCCTTTTAGGATAGTAAAACTATTGTGAGTAATTGCATGCATTAATCACACAAAGTAATGTGTTTGTGTTCAGACATCTTGAAGCGTGGTGGTAATGCAGCAGATGCTGCGGTTGCCATAGCAGCAGCGCTGGCGGTAACAGAGCCGTTCAGCACCGGTCCTGGTGGAGACGCCTTCTGCTTGTTTTACAACGGAAACACTGGAGAGATCAGAGGAATTAATGGCAGGTGGAGTATCTTCTCTCGCTGCTGTCGTTGTCTCCATAGTACAGAATGATTTGCTGAACCTCTCTCTGTGTCCTCAGTGGTCGTTCGGCCAGAGCTCAGACCCTGGACTTCCTGGAAGGACATGGGTACACTGAAGAGGCCCCTCCTTTACCTTCTGATGTCTTGAATGTCACAGTACCAGGGGCCCCTGCATGCTGGTGTGATACTGTACAGCTGTTTGGTAGTCACAAGGTTTGACTGTGTGTGTGTTTGTGTATCTATCTCTGCAGAACAGTATGTGCCGGTATGTGTTTTATGCAACACTCTCGTAGCCAAATCCTATCTAATATAATCAGTTACATGACATAAACAACCTAAATGTAAGCACTGCAAAAGGAACCATACTGACACACACCACTAACACACATGGAAGTGGGACTCTTGACTCTTGTGGATGATCTAAACAGTGCTGCTGAAAGTGATCAAGGAGATGTAAATAAGTGGACAAACTAGCGTTTCCTTTTTTTGGTCAAAACAGACGTAACTTAGCCATCTATGGTAAATTTTCCACAGGTCCATGAAAATGTGGGCAACATTTTAAAACGGATAGAATTAGTGGTAAGACTCACTTTCAAGGAATACTTCACCGACAAGATGACCATTTGTATATCAGTTACTCACCCCATGTCACCTTGAATTTGTGTAGAAAGGTTTGTTTTTTGTTGAATTAAAGTAAAGGGGGGCCATGTTTAACAACAGCAAAACTAATCAAAACATCTGTTTACAAGTCTCATGTATCCAGTTGTGTGCTCAGTCCTTCCCAAACACATGCAGTTTTGTTAAAATGTTAAATTATAAAACCTAAACAGTCTCAAGCACGGATGGGTAGCGTGGCTGGCAACTCAGTGGTATGCATGAGCAGTGTTCAAACGCACGTGCTTGCCCAGGCACACTACTTGTATGCAGAGGTGTTTTAATAGTAATATTTTAGTGAAAATGCATGTGTTTGTGAAGTAATAAGCATGTGACTGGATAAATGAGACTTGGACTGGACTGCACAAGTTGTGTGAGAGTTTGTAAATAGATGTTAGGATGCTGATGATCAGAAAAGTGAATGACACTTATACTGTATATCACAAAGTAACCCCCATTGTCTCCTCTTGTTCACACAGATTAATAACATTTCTTTGATTTTTTTTTCTGCCTGGAAAACCCTCAGAGGAACTTACAACCCAGTTTTAGTCTCCACATATTTCCTCTCAAAACAATGACTCACACTTCCTGCTCAGTAGGTTTCCTGTGAGGTAACAAGTGTGTGTTTCCACTCCCTGTTTCTCCAGCTGTCCCTGCAGGAGGTGCTGAGCGGGCCGACAGAGCTCGCAGAGGTGGGGTTTCCTGTTGCCGAGGTAACAGCTCACCACTGGGCGAAAGGGGTGGCTGCTCTGAGAGATGCAGGGAAGGAACTAGGTGGAGACCTGCTCATTGATGGTCATACGCCCAAATGTGGACAAGTGTTCAGAAACCCTAACCTGGCCCAGACCTTGAAGGTACGCACAAACAAACACATAGGACAGAAGGAAACAGAACAATGAAGAGCCCCAGAGAAACCACTGTGCTGGTTCCACGTTCTCTTCGACATTATTTTCTTTTGCTGAACTTAAAGGGCCAGTGTGTAATATTTGGCATGGTTTATTGTCAAATCTGAATCTGAATCTGAATATTCTACCCATTAATATGTTTATATACGTGTATAATCGCTATGAAATAAAATTCGTTTGGTTTTCGTAGCCTTATAATTATGCTTTTATATATATATAGCAAGGGCCTTGCTTTAGAGAGGTCGCCATCTTGCGCCACCATGTATGTACGGCAGACCGAGCGGACAATCCAGCCAGCCAGAGAACGCGTTTCGCGTGTATAAATAAACCAACGAAGACAGCAGAAGGAAGGAAGGAAGGAGGAGGAAACAGCAGAGAGTGTTAGTAGTTCGTTGATGGAGACTAGTGAAAAGTTTTTTAGTCATAAAGTTTGTGAATGGACCACACTTACCACGCAACAGGAGAGAATGAACCCGAACCGTCATCTGCGAGGAAAAGAAGACGCAACTTCACTCCTTGTGATGCACTCGGCGCTTTTCCTCCTGATGAGATAATATATCTCCCCAACGATGGTAGCACTGAATCCCATTCTGTGCAGCAAAATGGGAGCGGAGGATTCAGCCTCTCTTCTCGCCCGCTCAGCATCAAACACATGGAGTTCCTCATCTGTATGCTCCGGCTCAAACAGGTATGGCTCTGGATCTGTGTCCGCTACAAGAAACTCTTCAAAATCGAGTTCAAAGTCGTCCATTGCAGCTGCTATAGTCCAGAGATATTGCTAGGCTAAATAAACAGCTGAGCTCTGTTTACAGGCTACACTGTCAGTCAGTGTGCGGGCTGGAGATTGAGCAGAGAGGGGAGGGGGTACCCGCTAGGTGCTGTAAGCGAGTATGTGTGTTTGAAGTGTGTGTATTACGCTAGAAGAGTCAGAGTTTGGGACGGAGTCTTTTACCCCCTGGAGTGTTACCAGAGTTTTTGGAGTGCCAAATGCTACTCTGGTCTCCTGCTCGTGAGGGATTCATTACAATATCGTAACATGGTTTAGATTTCTAAATAAATATTCACCTCGTCGCTAGATAGACCTACTCCTGAAAAACTTTGCGCAAGGCTTTTTGTCCCTACGAGGCCACCGTCATTTACCCGACGGGAGAGTGAGCGAGTGAGCCCTGCAATCTAGAATTTGACCACTGATGTCACTGTTTTCAACCCATTTTACACACAGGCCCTTTAACATTGTCTCCTAGTCTTCTATGGGGAAGACCTTGGATGAACCCAGGGGCATAGTGGGTAATTAACCATGGATCCATTAGTGTGATGGACTCAACATGGAAGGAAAACAAGGAAGATGAAGGGAGGGAGGAATACATGGGTGGGCACAATAGGAAGGATATTTAATGAGGCAAAAAGAGAGGGAAGGGTGGAGGAGGGAGTGAAAGCGAACAAGGAAAGGCAAACATGGTGATGACAGAAATGCAAAGCACCCTTTCTTTTGGATTTGGAAAAATCATGTCTTATTAAAAAAGCCCTTTTTAACATATTGACACTATAATTCTGTTCTTGGGGTGAAACATTATTATTAAAGGATTTACATATCTAAAACAAATATGATACATATATATATATATATATATATGTATATATATATGTATATATATAGATCTGCTTTCATTTTTTTTATCTTCTAAACTTGCTCTGTGCCAGAAAACATCCTTGTCCCAGACAAGAATTGCCAGCTTCAAACATTTAAAAAAGTGTTTTAAGTCCTCAAAATCTGAAACTAACAGTACGTACTGATAACATCAGAGTTAAAATTTAACACTTTAAAGATGTGTCCCAGATTTTTCTCAATGGTGTCAAAATTCTACAAAAACATAATTTAATTATGTATACATGGGGTTAGCTATATCACAAGGACTCCTGTCCCACTTACTAACTTTCTGTCAACTCCATCAGATCTTACCTCTGACAACCATCATGCATGCTATTAAAGATAAAAATAAATCACTGGGTGGCTGGCCTATATCAAGAAATATATTTTCACAGCCTAATTGAATGAAAAATAAAAACAACAACCCAAAATAAGGTTTTGTCCTAATTCTCAAGAATGAGTGAAAGGTGAAATGGTCAAAAGAGAGAGGAGGAGGAGATTGATAGAAAAAGAAGAAAGGGAGCAGGATAGGTGGGAGTAAAGGTGAAGGTGGTAAACAATAAAAACATAATCTATATCCATAATAAAATTAAAAGCAATAACAGTAAATCAAAGTGTTGGTCTCCACAGAACAGTGTGCATCACAGGTGATGCTGAGGTCAGTCAGCCTGTATGTCCATCAGTGGAGTTCTTCATGGTTTAATGCACTTGTAAATAGTTTCCTGATCTTGGTTACAGTTTATTGAAATGTTGACCTGATTTTATGGTTGGTGGGTCCAGACTGAAACATCTCAACAACCACTGGGTGGATTGGCATGAAATCCCTCATGTGAATGTTCTACTATGATTTTTTGTGTGTGTGGACAATGTAGCATTCATAAAACCACACTCATTCTGTAGTTTCCTGTCACTGCAGCGATGGCTGACCCCACCATGTGTGTTTGTCTGCTGGTGTGTCACCATTAAAGCATGCGCTGATCAATGCTCTACTATATTACTACATCAAACACTCAGTCTTTAGTAATTCAGTGATGCAGGAGCTCTGCCAAGTACGCCCATGATAACCTACACACACACACACACACACACACACGTTCCTAAGACAGGAGAACAATAGCAGTGACCTCAGCCTCATTGATAGATTGTTTCCATGGCATCATAACGGTCATTCCTCAGTGATGACGGAGTGTGTTACTTTCTTGTGGTGAAAAATCACACATTCACACACACCATCCTGTTCGTTTGCTAAAATTGATTGGACTTGTAGATATACACAATAGCAGACACATCATCCGCATATCTTTCAAACTCTAGGCTCATGAATGGCATTACATCACACACAACTTCATATTTTTAATGTCTTTGTGTTTGTAGCTGTGGTTTTAAAACATGTAGCTGGACAGGCAGAATAGGCTGATGTATTGAAAGTTGACTGATTGACAGATTGGTGGACTGATGTGTTGACAGGAGCTCGGTGAGCGTGGCAAACCAGCTTTCTACCAGGGCAGAGTGGCCAAAGCCATCGTTGACATCATCAACCAAAACGGAGGAGTCATGACCCTGGATGACCTCAGCAGGCATGACAGTGAGGTCATCTCCCCCATAAGCACAGAGTACAAGGTGAGGTCAGCGATCACAGGCACTTTTTGTGTATTTTGATAGCGTGGTAAGCAGAGGCAATGACTCCATTGTGTGTTCAGGGTGTGCGTCTGTGGGAGCCTCCTCCTAACAGTCAGGGATTGACTGCCCTGCTGCTTCTCAACATCCTGGAGAACTTCCCTCTCAAAGGTATTCACTGGAATGCTGATACAACATACCAGCAGAGACGGAGTAGGACCTCAAATCTTAATATAGATTTTAATCTGGTGATGTGGATGAGTCAAAATGTACTTTATAAAAAACATAAAGCATTAGCATACTAATATTTAAAAATATACTCTTGGTTTTATTTGCCTGGGTTTAAATGTTTTCCTCTTAAATCGTGGCCCATTTCTATTACAGGAAATAAATGTTGTTTTGCGACCACTTTTGCCACTAAAATAGCACAGTAACACAAGAACACCGTTTCAGAAAGCATTTAACTGTTTAATTCTTAAGAATATTCAGACTGGAATTAGAATGTGGGGGAAATTAAATGAAATATATAAAAAAAAATGAAATTTAAATAAATGTGTGCGTGAAGGGGCTTAGCTCTGCCCATGCTGAAACTCGGACAGAAAGCAGATGAGAAGACAGAAGCAGCGTGACCAGAAATGATAGCAAAAAATGTCTCAACATAGTCTCTTCCATTGAGTGGGGTTAGGCGCTGTGAAAAATTGCTTTGCGGATGTGAAAATTTTTAAAACGGTGACCTGCTGTTTACTTTGTCATCATGTTGGCTAAAATGTTGGTGTCATTATGATGTAAACAAACACAAACACATATAAACACAAGGACAACATCATATGATATATGGACATGACCTTGATCATTTTTGATGACCTCAATAAGTTGATATAGGGCTGTACCCGATTTGGCTGTATGATAAAGTTTGAAAGTTTGAAAAGGCTTCAGCTAAACGTTTAGTGTGACAGCGACATTCATGTGATATAGTAAACAAGCTAACTGTGCTAACAGTGGATCAGAAGTGTAGGTATCAAACAAAAGCCAGAGACTGTATCATATTTAGTTGCTGTGAGCTGTAAATTCACCATTTCTAAGCAGAAGAGATGGTAATGTTACCTCAGAGCCTTATGATGCAAAGTCTCTCCTCCTATGTGCTGCTGCATTGTGTCCTCAGCTGTTTGTCCCAAAGAGTAGCCTGAAGTCAAGAGCGCTCACTCTGCAGCAAAATTTTGACACCAGAACATCTCCAGATGTACACTGCACAGTGCAGTGACCAGCAAAAAAAGAAAAAAAAGACAGCTCAACTTGAGGCAATGTCAGTTGACTGAGGAGTCTCTGACTGATGATTTGAATCTCTGACTTTCAAGCGACAGCTCTAAGTTGATTGTATTGTGACTCTTAGGAGTCCTGTGATAGCACTGCCGACCTCTTCAGGGTGCACCTTGTCAGCTTGGAAAAGCTCCGGCCCCTGCAACCCTTTACAGGATAAGTAGGTATATGTTGATGGGTAACTCCCACAATGTCCAATATCTTTAGTAACAGCAAGTCAAAAAGAAGAAAGAACAGAAAAAATGACGATGACATGTTAATTCTGGAAGTTACATCATATTATGTCCACGATATGTATTTAAAGTTGCTGTGGACCTCTCCTGTAGTCCCTGAAGGGGACAAAACCACAAGTCACACAAACAATGAAACGGTTGTGGATCATAGAATTTGATTTGCACTAATCTGTTGTGTGTGTGTGTGTGTGTGTATGTGTGTGTGTGTGTGTGTGTGTGTGTGTGTGTGTGTGTGTATGTAGCTGCAGGCCATAACAGCTCGGACTACATCCACACACTGGTGGAGACTGTGCGCTTGGCAGTAGCAGATGCTCTGTGTTACCTGGGCGACCCAGACCATGTGACCATCCCTCTGGAAACCTTACTGGACAAGAGCTACAGCCACCAGCGAGCGCAACGCATCAGCATGGACAGGTGTGTGCCTCTGTGTGTGTAAGTGTGTATGTCTGTTAGTACCAGTGGGTACCAGTCATGCTCTGTTGACTTTAGATAGGACTGTAGACTTTTACTCCCCCCCCAGCCTTAATGTCCATCCCTTTATGCCTCTGTCCCTCCTCCACTGCTCCGTCAACTGTGTGTGTTTTGGCACCAACACATATTTACTGGTCAGTACTTTAGACTTTGAACTTTGGGTCTTTATCAGTTCTAACACAAATAGACAAACAGACTATAAAAGTATAAAACAACATGATGATTTCCACACACATACACACACACACACACACACACACACACACACACACACACACACACAGACATATTTGTCGTACTAAATCCTGCTGTTGTTGCCGTTGTTTCATACTCTAATAACCTTAAATCCCTGAGGGTGTACTACTGCATCAGGCAACACATACAAATACAAACACCAACCATACACTTTCTTTTAATTTAGTATCACTTTGATGATTCAACCAACCTTAAATGAAATGTGAAGCAGAACCTGATGTCTCTCGTAATACAAAAAGTAAGAAAAATGTTGTCTCCACTGTCATTATGTATACATGCATGTAACTTATAGAAATCAGGTGATGGCAGGAAATTACAGATCATGTTTCCTTGTAATGCAATAAAATGGTTACTGTAAAACCTGTGTTTACATAGAGCTGGCAATCAGATTTCTCGGCCAACACCCTACAACATGTTTGAACCAAGGCTGGCATATGGTTTATTTGTGATGTATGCTGATAGGAACATTTGGACTGACATGCTGTGAGAGGACATTGAATGAGAAAGCACACAATTATAAAGATTATGTAAGTGATAGCCGCTGTTTCCAGTGTGTGAGGTTGGTGGATGGGCCTGGGTGATTCTATTCAGGACCTTTTTTTTTTTCTATTAAATGTCTTTGATTAAAAAAAAGATCCATTGATATTTCTTATGAAAATATTTATTTCAGGGCATAAAAAAAAAGTAAGTAAATTTTAAAAGCAAAGGAAACACTGAAAAATATAGACCAATGTTTTAATTAAATATACTCTAATTTTTTTTTGCAGAATTTGATGAGTAAAATTGATATCACCCTCATGAGAGTATGCTAGAATATGTGGCTATTGTGATGGCAGTGAGGAATAGGACCCAAAATGCAGACTCAGAGGGAAGAGGGTTAACAGGTTTATTGTGTCAGAATTGTGCAGAGAACTGAGGAGATCCGGAGTCGAGGTGCCGAGTGAGGAAACCAGGTGAGAGTGCTGGGCTGTGGGCTGCTGAGAGGCACGGAGGGAGACACTGGAACAAAAAAGGCAGGAGAACGAGGGTTAACACAAGAGGAGCAAAAAACACCATCAAACTTGCAAGATACTTAATTCACAGGAGGATCAGAGGAGCCGAGATACCACTGCGTGCAGAAGCGAATACTCTGGCACTGAGGCTAGAGACGGTGGCAGTCTTAACAGCCCGTTGATTGCCGATGAGTCACAGGTGTGCGCACTCAGCCTCAGTGCAGGGCGGGGGAAGGGAGAAGCCTCTGGAGACAGGCAAACACAGCAGCAAACAACCCACACAGGAAGTAGACTCCAGAAATGTTCATAAAATAAAAGCCAAAAGTCCATGCTCACCACAGCTATAGCTAGAAGATGGTTAGCTAACCTCAGCATAAAGATGGGAAACAGGGTGAAACGCCCTTCTTGGCCCTGTCAAAAGTTCAAAAATCTACCTGCCAGTAACTAATGTTATATCTTGTTCACTTGATTTGGCTGTTGCCGTATATTTACAGTACAGGCATGATAGTGGTATTGATCTTATGATGTAACTCTGCAATATGTTTTTGACATATCCTTTGACCAGCACAAGTTCCTCCTCAGCCCAGTTAAACCTATTTGTCTTTTTCCAAACATTTTCGATAACCACACGGCAAAAACAGCAACAACAACAGCAATGATTTATGTGTGTGTTCTAATTGTTGTATGTGTGTGTGTATCTTTAGGACCATGAAAGAAGTGGAGCCTGGCCCAACGACAGGAAGTGACACTGTCTATTTCTGTGTGATTGACAGTGAGGGCAATGCCTGTTCATTTGTCAACAGCAACTATATGAGTTTTGGAAGTGGGCTGGTCCCTAAGGATTGTGGATTCTCACTACAGGTCAGGGGGGTCAGCAAGAGGATATGTATGCATGTGAGATAGTGATGGTAACCTACTGACTGTTTAGACACTGCAGAGTAGGTGGTTACATCAGTGGATTTGATGAACAGCAGTCATTTACCAGAGGAGCAGCATGAGTGTGAGAATGAAATTTAAAAATTTCATACTTTGAGAATGTTTTGCATGGTATCATTACCTTAGGAGAGCAGGAATGTGCTTGAGCTTTGCGAGTGTATGGTATGCATGGTGTACTAACTTGGAAATATTTTTGAAAATCATTGAACCAAACCTATAAAGACATATTGCTGTAGTAAGATGATAACATACAGTTAACATCATTCATACAGCTTATCCATTGTAAAAATAGAATTTCCAGACTGTTTCGAGAAGCACGCTAAAATATTAAAACATAAAACTGAATGAGGAGATTGAAAAGCTTGATTTCTGGTGTGTATCTTTATATAAAATCTCTTTTTCCCTCTCACAGAATCGTGGTGCCTGCTTCTCTCTGCATCGTGATCACGTTAACTGTGTTGCAGGGGGGAAGCGACCATATCACACCATAATACCTGCACTTCTCACTGTCTCTGCAACCAAATCACAAAAACCACGACTCCTCGCTGCACTGGGGGTGATGGGGGGTTTTATGCAACCGCAAGGACATGTCCAGGTAAGTGCAGAAAATTCTCTATAATATAACTTTTCATTGTCCATTTCTAAATAAATGAATACGACTAGATCAGGCATTGGAAAGATTTAGTGTATAAGTGTGTATAAATTCACAGAGAATTTGAACATACCTCACTTTAATCACGGTTCAGTCTTAGTTTATTGTGTTAATGAGTGAATAACTGATGTTTCTCTTGTGTTTAGGTGTTGTTAAACATGTTGGAGTTTGGGATGAATCCTCAACAAGCTCTGGATGCACCAAGAGTCTATGTACACTATGACCCTAAAAGTATGCCCTGCTCCTCCATAGCACACACACACACACATAGAAAACAGTATAGTATACATGTGATTAATGACTTTGGATAATCAGCTCTCTATCCTGGGATACCAGAGTTCATGTTTATTGGCTATGAACGATATGGCTGTGCCTCATCATATTTTAGGGCGATGGTCATATGAAGTCATGGTTTTCCTCTACTGTCAGATGTCATTGTAAAATGTAACATAATTTGTATATGAGATGAGAATTGTGGGAATTTAGTAAAAAACGACAGTGTATGTGACAAATTTATATCTTCTGATTCTGATCAAACATTCTCTGTCTAGCTCATCAGTGGTTGGTCAATCTGGAGGAGGGGATCGACCAGGAGGTAGCAGAAGAGCTGAGAAGACGGGGCCACAAAGTCAGCTGGCCAATCACAGGTACCTGTTTTTTTTTTTCTTTTACATAATTACTGTTGGCAGTTGCTGCATGGCATTTTTTTACATCATAAGTATGCAGTGGTTCCAGAAAGTAGACGATTTTCCCAGCCATTCATTCATAAAACACACAAACACAAACCAGTAGTACAACTCCGGTAAAATGAACTCATCAGCTCCTTTAAGTTGTGCCCTGTGAGTTAATCCTTTTTCATCTTTTTACATCGTTGGCTGGTGCGTCATAATTGTCCATGATTCTGGATGGTTCTGGTAATCCATGGTTTTCTTGTTGTGGAATGATTTAACTGCCCACACATCCTGACCACAACAAGACGACCACAGGGTTGCTTCTTCCTGAACACAGCAGTGCTGCTCCGTGGTTGTCTGCACGGTAAAATATTACAGCAGTTACCCACAGCTTAACAGGGACCACCACACTTTCCCACTGGCACACCAGTCCTTATTCACCGTAAAGCGCACTTCTCCTTTCCTTGCCTTTCCAGAGTCCTATGCACTGTTGGATTGGCAGTAGAAATGGAGTCACCTGGTTGAATGGTGCTGTGCAGGATTCAGCCAAGTTTCATGAATCAAAGGATATTACAGTTCCTGGTTAATGTACAATGACTAGCAGGATGCTAGTTCGGCTGGTACTCACTCTTCTCCATCTTTTCTCAGTGTTAACTAATATTTACATTTGAAAGCATAGACCTGGCTAGCCAGAAATCAGCAGTAGGAGAGCCCACAGGTTGGCGAGCTGAACCCCTCACCCAAGCGATGGCCTGCAGTTATATGCCACCACCGTCCAACACCAACCACACAAGCCCCACCATAGCTCGCAAAGCAGACTCAAGAGCCCAAACCTAGCACAATTGTAGTGGAGCTGACAGAGAGGCAGCTGGAAGTGTCTGCGCCTATGTCACATCAATCATAAAAACACTGGGGAATAAAACCTAACAACATATTAAACATTCCTAAACACTTTCCTTGAATGTTATGAAGAAAGTATTTAAAAGATGCAAATAAATGATGTAGCATTATCTGATTTCAATACGAAGAGTATTTCACAGTCTGGAGGCTCTAACAGCAAAGGCTTGGTCTCTTTTGGTCACAAGCCAGGATAGGAACAACCAGCAGAGCTGCATCCACTGATCTGAGGAAATGCCCAGGCACATAGAGCGTCAAAAAATCCTTGAAATAATTTGGAGCAATGCCATTAATGCTTTAAGAAGTATCAATAAAGTATTAAAATCAAAATGGAACATACTGGCAGCAGATGCAAGTTGGCTAGCACAGAGTAATGTGTTTGGAGTCTCTGACTGATACCAACATGAATTGCATGTGAGAAAAGGTGAGAAAAAAAATTAAAAGCATGTATAACCTTATGTGACTCTGAAGGAGAGAAAAAAGATCAGATTTTAGATTTGTCTCTCATATTAAGCCAAGATTTCTAACAGTCTGCTCCATATTTTTATTAAGGGATCCAAGCTTGTTTTGAACCAGGCTGGTTGGACCAATGGCTGTGATCTCATTTTTCTCATTGTTAAATGTTAAAAAAAATGTGTGACATCCAGCATTTCATATGATTGAGGCAGGCAAGAAGATTAAATTAACTACTGGGAATACTGTACTGTTAAGGCCCATATAGTTGTGTGTCATCTGCATAACAATGGTGGGAGACACCATGGTTTTAAATGAATCTGGTTAAGAGGGAGCATATAAACTGAAAACAACAGTGGGCCAACAGTGGACCCTTGAGGAACCCCACAATTTAAATGAGCAATAGAGGAACTGGCATTTTCTACAACAGTAAAAGTTCTGTTCAAGGGGTAAGAGTGTAGTGGCTGTAGAGCTGTTGCCTGTAGACAAACCCAGTTTCTAGACAGTACAGGAGAACAGAGTGATCGATCATCTTGAAGGCAGTACTCAAAAGAAAACAACACATAGGAATGAGCTGTCACCTCTGTCAGCTGTTAAACGTAAGTTGTTAAAAACCTTCACAAGGGCTGTGTGTGCCATGGTGGTCTCTAAAACCTGACTGGCAACTGCTAAAAATATTATTTTTTATTCATGTAAGAGAGTATTGGGTTGAAATGACTCTCCAACAGCTTAGATAGGAATGCAACATGTCACTAAAACTGTCACTCAGGCATCTACAAGTCAAGGTTTTTTGTTGCATTGATGATGTATTTTATGATAAATAGGTGCTACATGTAGTCTACTCAGAAGTTAACGTGCTACATTAATTGTTTTATTGATGGATAGCTACAGCCATAAACAAGACCATGGCTGAAACAACTGGTAGTTTCAAATCAGTGGGATTAGGCCTTAGTTCCCATACACACTGTTGCTTCCTGCTACAAACAGGATCTTTTTATTGGTTCCTCTTCCCTACCCTGACATCATTCTGGGTGAGTTAGCTGTTGCTCTCTGGCTTTTCTTAAAAGTGTGAACATGTTTTTTGTGATAGTGTGAAGTGTTAGGATTTCAATTCCCCCTACCAGCTATTATGAACATTAATTTAGCTAATTCTGGAATAGCATTACCCACTTAAAAATTAGATCATAGAGCAATCCATTTATGTGGAGCCCAGCAGGACACTATTTACAATTCAGTGAAGAAGTTCTTACTGTAACTGCCCATTTTCTTTGCCTTTTTTATCAGAATGAATGCTGCAGTGATGTAAAGATGTATATATCCAGGGCAGCTTGTAGCATCTTGATGTAGAATGCTGAGTTCTTTTAATTATTTCTTGTTAATAATGTTATTTTCAGGTTCACTTGTAGAAAAATACAGCATAATATTAACCTGTCTTATTCTATTTATATTTTACTACCTTCAATTTTTTAAACCAACTAGATAGTTATTCAGATCTGTTGCCTGTCATGAGCACTAAAGACTTATGGTCTCATGTAGGATTTATGACACTTCTGGTTTTAACATTTATTAACACACAAATCATATTTAAGGAACCAATTGTCTAACTGCTCATCACTGAGCTGCTCATCACTTGAGAAAAAAATAACTGTGTATCTTCCTTAGAACCTAACTGCCACCTTTCTGGCAGTTAATGAGCTCAATAAATTTTTATTTATTTATCTTTTTTTATTCAAACACACAGGCCATCAGAGGGCTCAGTTTGGGCGGGGACAGATCATCACAGTGGGGGACTGGTGGAACCCATCTGTCAGTCAAGCTGATCATCCATCCAGGGTGCTGTGGGCGGGATCCGACCCAAGAGCAGATGGATGTGCTCAGGGATACTAGACCTACAGTATGTGACCTCCTCTCCTGTTCTGTGTTGATGTAATATCAAGGTACATTAAAACCATAAAGGTTTCAGAAGGCAAATTCCTACATGTGGAATGTGGCTTCAAGTAACCAAGTGAATTTATTACCCCATAAATTCTTGACGACAACTCAGGTTTATAACACAATCATATCACAGCATCATCATATAACATGTCACACATTTTATCTGTGACCTGCAGTAAAGTTTGACTTAAGATTGTGCACCGTATTTCATAGTTTGTCAAGGAATCATTGGCACTACCGTCCTAATTTTATTCCAAATCCTCCTAAGTTCAAGCTACATTTTTAAGTCAGTGTACTCTTTTGTTTGCTCTTAAATATAGAACAACGAATTAGAAAACAAATTTTTGTGTAACACTTCACTAAAAATCTCAGATGCCATTCATCAGCTTTGTATTTTGGGTGAGATAATTATCCGTTTCAGTGCCTTTGCTGGTCAGTTCAGTTGCTGCTGGTCCAGAAGGAAAACAATATCATTACATATAAAAACTTCCATCCTAAATAAATGATAGTTGCATCTTTACTCTGGTGGACATTTTACAAAATAAACTTTGAGATAATGTAATAATGTCATTTAAGTCAAGTCAATCAGTGTTACGGTATATCTTAATTCAAATTCCGTTTGCATCATTTTCCTAGACTTTTAAGTGAAGTATATTTGTATCTGCTATTGCTGGAAACAAACTGATTTAACTTTGTCTGTATTTAAAATAATCTGTGAAATATGCTGGATACAATCATGATATTGTACGTTTTTACAAATGACAAATAAATCGAATTTATTTTTTAAGTGATGTTAAGTTCTCCAGATTGTTTCTCTGTACCCAGTGGCGAGATGATTTGGGTTCAAAACTCTTCATTAAGAAAAGTCATTCCATGCGCCAAAAGAAAATGTTGGCATTGTATGTTTCTGCAAACTATAGATACAGAATGTTACATTTGTACATTTCACAATTTTTCTAAACTGGTGTAGTTCAGATTAAATGTATATAAGACCTAGATGAGAGAGCCACCAAGCAGACAAGCAGCAGACCACTGCTTGAGACCAGCTGTGTGTTTTAGTGATACATCAGCACATTTCAAGTGAATGTTTTAAGCCAAAACACGATATTTTCCTCTCCATAACCAAGTATTTTTTGTGCCTAAACCTAACCACTTTATCCACAGCATTGTCACAACAGAATTGAAAATTGAAATGAAAAGAAATGTAATGTTGACATCTTCACCATATAAAACATACCAATTTAGCATCTGTGGTTTGCAGAAACGTTCAAAGTCGACAATTATTCTGGTGATTGGGTTGGAAAAGTACAAGATTTAAACAGAACTAGTTGAAACTGTTGGAGTCTGAAGGGAATTCAGTTCAAAGGATTCAGCACCTGGACAAGATAGATGTGCGTGGGGTTTTGCAGGGGTGTTTGAACCTGTGTACAAAATTTTGAACAATTTTACAAATTGTGGAGACTCTGAAAATCCACACATTTAAGTCCTTTTGAGACATCTTACTCTGGACCAAACAGTGATTTCTAATAATTGTTTTTTTGAACTATGGTAATGTAAAAATGCACACTTTGTACAGAACATATGAAAAACCAGAGGTTAGATTTTATTCATTTGTTTTGTATATTTACAGCCCCCACAGGGTGAATACTTGCATTATTTGCTTACTCTCTGACCTTTACTCTCACACAACCATCAGAAATCTGAGTGTAATGGGCACACTGCCATCAAATTTTCTAAGCACACTCATGTAGCCCAGAGACCAAACCTTTCCTATTTTGGACACACTATGAGCTGTGGTCTGGCATCTCCCTAATAACTACATGGCCTTTCACACTGTAACAACTCTTAAGAAATAAGATCATGATCACACGGCATATGATCCATCTGTTACATTGCATGTTTTTAAGCAGGCTGGATGAAGTGGGTGTTTTGCCTTTGTGTATGAGCTTTGTCTTATGGTGAATATTTAGCTGTTGGGGAAACGCCCTGCTGCCCCCCAACATACCACACAGACGAGATAAATTATATTACAGTATGCAGTGGCTGTGGTTGTGTGAAAAAGGATTTTAAAAATATGCGTCAGTTGGTAAACACTAAACTTGTAAAAACCACTTGAGTAGGCAGCTCAAACATGATTCTACTTCAGCACAAATCTCTCGATGTAGAAACATGATGTTAGACTTTGTTTCATTGTTGATCTCCTTACAGCTCCAAACCCCGCCTGGTACCAACAGTTTACTCCTATAAAGAGCCATGTGTTCTGTCACCCACACACTCTGTTTTATATAATCTGCCTTAATTAACACTGGTTGAAACAGCCTGTTAAAGAAGGCCAGTTCCAGCTTACAGCACAGTTTATCTGGATGTGGTGCATTCCAGCTGGATTAAAAAGCAGCTCAAAACATGTTGGGGCCCTGAAACACACATATGTTCACATACAGGGTCTTTGTGGCTTTCTGACACAGCACTGTTAGAAGTCATGCTTTTGTCCTATTGCCCCACATAGACCTGCTGAGCTGTTGTATCATTCTGACCTAGAAGGAGGCGGCCTTGCCCATATGACAGATTTGGGAACGTCTTAGAAACATTTTGTATTTGAGTAGTCCTTGTTAAACTGATCTACACTAGTGTTGTTGTCTGGTGACAAAAATCTGATATCCTTTAACCCAGATGTGATAGACTAAATCCAAGTTTGTCTTTATTTCTCAAAAAAGTTCACACTTTGGAGGATGCTATTTTCACTTTTCACAAGTTTGATTTAATACTATCTAATTAAAATGCCAGCAGTGCTTTTGCAATTGTTGAAAAGTAACTGATTACATTTACTCAAACACTGTACTTAAGTAAAGTTCTTGTACTTTGCTTGAGTATTTCCATTTTCTGTTTATGTACTCCACTACAGTTCAGCTTACTACATATATCTGACAGCTATTTGGTTTCTAGTTATTCTACACATCTTACAAAAACATGTGAAAGGTTTATAAAATATAAAAAAACAATTCTGCAGAACAAGTACTTTCGATACTTAAAGTACATTGTGTTGCTGATGCTTCTATTCTTGCACTTAAGTAACACTTGCACTTAAGTTTAAATTCAAGGCTATGGCTTGTTATAGAGGTTTTTTTTTAATTGGGATTGCTACTTTTATCAGTAAATTATCTGAATACATCTTCCATGCCTGGTTCTTGCACACTACATAGTCTTTACATTTGCAGAGGAATAGAAACTGTATATTGAGAAATGTGCTGGATTGCTTGCTCCATTTTTTTATCTAGTAAATGAACTTCAAAAGTAATTTAGTAAAGTAAATAACTGATATGTACGTATGAATGAACATTTGTGTGTATGTGTGTGTATACGCGTACGTGTACACACTTTTATGTGTTTCCTACAAAAAATGTGACACACTTTGTCATTTTATGTTTTAAAAAGTGCTTCATAAATAAATCATCATTTTTAAACTGTGGATATACCTCTATAGGTATCGTACAGATTACTATTAAAACAATCAGTCTGTTAGTTGATCACCAGATGATTTGTCTTCTTGTTAACTGTAAATTGATTAATGTTTGGTCTTGGGACTGTTGGTTGGCCCAAACATGCTAAGTAGACTTGGACTCAATGATATACCACACATATTATAAGAGTATTATGTGTATGTTATATGCAGTTCAAGGGGCATAGTCCCCAACATATATTATATGTGTATTATATGAGTGTGGACAGACATTGATGTAAACTGTAACTGCAACTGTAAATGACTGGTTTTTGAGTCGGTAATTCTAGTTGAAAATTGTTTTCATCTTATAGACAAAATGATCAACACTTGATAATGTAAGTTATGTAGTATAGTCTTGTCATATAACATGATACATATACTGTACAAATGTGTGAACCATAAGTAGAAAAAAGGGAAGTAGGAAAAAAATCACTGTTGTAGTGAGTCAGTCATTCTGAAGGAAATTCATACTTCAGAGTGCTCTGTGAGGCAAGGCTGACTCAAAGGCTGTGGGAAACACACACACACACACACACACACACACATACACACAACAGGCTCCCGTCACTTGTTTTTGTTTCCTGGCTCCCCAGCTGCTCCGACCCTTCCCTCCCCTCTTTCTCTCTTACTCTCGCTCTCCTCGGTCCATTCCACTTCTCTCCTCTCCTCCCTGCAGTTGTGAGTGTGTCTTTGGGTGAGCAATGTGTTGTTCGGTGGGTTTCGCCAGGTCTCTGGGTCTGGCCCTGCTGCCTCTGGCCCTCTGCTGTATCCTGGCCAACCTGCTGCTGCTGTTTCCCATGGGAGAAACCACCTACATCCAGCAGGACCGCCTGGCCAGCTACATCTGGTACTTTGGTGGACTAGGAGGAGGGGGATTGATGGTGAGTAAAAATTAGGTGCTGGTCATGACAGATACATCTTTTGAAGAAAGGATAAAACACACTAAGGTCCCATTATTTCACATGGACCGAACAAAGTGTAGTGTGGATGTTGTCTCTTCAAAAGCTCAACTTTAGTATCATGGGATGACTTTCCTTTAACTTTATGCAGTCCAAAGTTACTTTTTGCTTTCCATTAAGTTTAAAATGTGCTTACCATCTTTCAAAAACTGATGATTTGTTTCTTTTTATTATTCATCAAAAAAGCTAAAACAATCCTTTAATGAGGCAAGATTTTAAACAAAACACTGATATATCATGAAAGCTCTTTTTCCACCTGGTGCAAATTCTTACATCCATTTTTTGCACTCAGATATGGTCAGATTGCAGTTACATAAGTTTTACAGAGAAGCAAGTTTTGGATATTTATATCTGCATCCTATTAGTCTTGAAAATTCATAAGAATATTGGAATAAGCCATTAGTGAAACTGAAGAAGGGAGAGTTTGTATCCACTATAACTTTTGTATGTACTTCATCATGACATAGAAAAAATAATTTGTCTTATTGTGAAGATTTAAAGCTTTGACTTTCATCACGACAGTAATGGTTATCCACCATAATGACTGAAGAGAAGTTGAATTGTTTGATATCAGAGCAATGTGGCAGCACTGTTCCAAATGAATAATCAGATCGGATTATTTTGCCTGGCAGAGGAAACAAAAACACTGTGGATATAGGTTTAACTGAGGTCACTGGTACCACCGTGTGGTGGGATTCGTCACTAATATTTGCCTCCGGAGAGAGACATTAACTGAAACTAAAAGTTATGAGATCCCCTTTCACCAGTAACATTCTTTCAAACCATGTTTTGACCACCGATTTTTTACATTTACACAAAAATGAATGACATTCTTTCACAGCATTTCAGCCATGTGACGCTAAAACCTTACCACTGAGAGCTCTTTTACACAGCATCATGATCAAACTGCATTCACTGATAACTCACTTCCCTTCTTCTCTTATTCAGTGGTTGTGGAGGCAGAAGCTGGTACATGGAGATACAGTGTGTGCTATTATGTGTGCTCACTTTGTGTTCATTACATACAGCCACTGCTGATTCACACTCATTTAGGCTTAGACTTGCTTTTCTTGTCTAAGTCTAATACTCACAGGATTTTAAGACCAAAATGTTATTAAATGTCAATTGTTTCCACTCAGCACCATTCAGTCTGAGTGTGTTCGCAGTTGCTCATTGAGAACAATGAAGTGTTGTGTGAATTCACAGTTAATCCATCTGCTACATGCTGCTGATCTGATGGCTTTATGCTCTGACTGAGCAGAAAGGAGCTGTTCTTTTAGTTTGGTTTTACGGAGGAACAGAGGAGAGATTGTATTTTACCAAACAAGATTAACCTTGTTGACCAGCAGAGCATTTATGTTGGATACATAAAGCTTTGCTCTGTAAAATATTTCGATTTGTTTTTAATGTGGTTTGTTGTAGTCTGTGCAGGTGAAAATAAAAAGTTACTCAGTTAATTTTAACACGCAACTAAAATAGATAATGTATTCTACATAACAGAAATGATGTATGTAAAACTAAATGAACCAAGCACGTGCCCATCTCCACTGTAACAGTACATCTAACAGTATATTTTTGACCATTCAAAAAAAGGCATTTCTCAGCAGCTCATATTTGACTTTCCCACATAGAAGGACGATTTAGGCACTAATTTCTGCAGAAGTTTAGTGTTAAGTTGTCAGAACAAGTAAAAGGTGCGACAGGTTTTGAACATTTTGCTGCTGCAGTGCCTCATTGCTAGAAAACTTTATTTATAGAGGTGACGAATCAACACACAAATGGGAGACCAAGCCTTTCAAAACCGGAAGAGGATGCAGAACAATGACCAGGGAAATTATGGAGTGCAGTCAAGTTATGAGAGAGAAAAGTCTGAACCTTAACATGTCCCTTTCACATGCTGTAGATGACACTTCTTGAAGATTTTTCACAATAAAATGCCCCTTGAACAGCTGGGAAGTTCTTAATGGGAACTATGGAGGAAGTTTGTATTAAATCAGGGTTGTGTAGAAAGGTCTTTAGTGAGACCCGATCCCAAATAATGGCCTTTATCTTCAGTTGATGTAGATAACAGCCTTATTCAGCATTTTAGGAATACAGTGATTTATCTGAGTTTAAGTTAGTCTGTGCATGTAATTTGAAGAGAACAGGGAACCACCTGTAACTCCGGAGATTTCCATACATGACTTAATTTCATTGATGTTTTTTACTTTTTCTGAGATGACTTTTGACGTGCTGTGCTTATTTTTTCCTCTTTGGGCTTTTCCTTTCTTTGTGGAAATGACAGAACGCAAAATAGTCAAAGAGCAAACTGAACCCCCCTGAGAGGAATCTATCTTTAGCTCCCTCCCTCTCCCTCACTCTTCCTCCCTCGTTTTTCCTTCTATCTCTCCCTTCCTTTCTCCCCGTGCACTTCCCTCTGTATTGTCAGCCTGTCTCTCTTTGCCTGTGCTCAGAGATAGTGCTTTAGGGGGACATCCAGGATGTGTGTGTAATGATTCCTGTGATCTGTGTGTGTGTGTGTGTGTGTGTGTGTGTGTGTGTGTGTGTAAGACCTTGGGAACTTCCCTCCCTCTGTTAGGATGTGATTTAAAATCCTTGACCGCTGGGAGAGAGGCAACAGCACAGGAAAGAGGAGGAGAGGAAAAAGGGAGGGAGGGATACTAAAACAGTAGAACTCTCAAACAAACAAACAGATGTAGGATTGCCATTATCTCTCTCTTCCTCTTGCAGTTCACAGTTTGACTCCCTGTTTACTACAGTATATATATATGTTATTTGCCATGCTACATAGGCTACTGTGTTAGCAGGCACGCATAGGCCTAGGTAGAGCTGATGCTGACACATTACTGCTTAGACTGCTGAAAGCTGAGCCATATCTGACAAAGTCAAAACAGACCTAATATTTGATTATAGTGTGTAATGAGCGGTGTCATGCCATGGTTCCGATGGGTCAAAATTCCGAAGCCCCATTAGTCCGAAAAATGTCCCTGGGAACTAAAACCCATTTCTCTGACAGCCTGTTATCTCAACAACAAACAGCAATTGATCCGAAGTCCTGTTTCTCTGAAAATACACACACCCTGCAGTTAGTGTCAGCGTCGCAGTGCCTGTCCCTGGATTTTCAGCCACTTTTGTGCCACCAAATGTGGGTGTTTTAAGCTAAGACATGATCTTTTCCTGATCGCAACGTGTCGTGTTTTTTGTGCCCGAACCTAACCACACATTCACCACAGCATAGTTGACAAATGTAATGTACCCGTGCGGTGGGGAATAACGGGCTGTTAGAGAAATGAGCTTTAAGTCCACTGGGACATTTTTTGGACTAACAGTCGTTGGAATTTTGGGCTGTCAGAACAATGGGCAGTCCCCCATTGGGCATTACAGCCTTATGTTGATTGTAGGGCATGTGTATTGGCAAGAATCTGGTGATACAATGCGTGTCATGATACATGGGTTACGATTCAGTATATTGTAATATATTTAGATACTGTCAGCAAGGAGATATGATGCAAATTTTAAAGTTAATTTTGGAAAGACTGTTAATGTATAAAGAGCACACCACCACATGTATAAAATCTGAGTAGAAAATCTGAGTTTCATTTTTTATGTAATCAGGGCAATGGGCTCCTCATTTTGTATTTATCACAGTACCTGTAAAATGCCAGTGATATGTTGTTATGTTGGAGTGGTAGGTATTGATATGAAATGTTCCTGCAACTGCAAGTAAAGAAAAGCAGGATTAATGATCATTTACTTTCCTACACTACAAATTTCCTATCTCAAATGTTTCAATGTGTATCAAGACTAAAAACGAAAATATCCTGACATTTAACTCTGTGTTTCCAGATGCTGGTTCCAGCTGTGGTCTTCATCACTCTGGGGAAATGTAGCTGCTGCTGGAATTCAAGCTTAATGGTAAGGGGATTTACCACAGTATCAGTAACACTCCATCTGCAGGAGACACACTATGCTGAGTCTGCACCAACAACTCAAACTCCTGTAATGACAGCTATGCTAAGCTAACGGTGTGGTAGAGAAGCCCCTACTTTGTTTATGATGAATTAGCGCAATACAGTGATTAGCACAATTAGCAGTGACATGTAGAGAAAACCCTCTCTAAATATATAACCAAGGCTTAGTTTTATGTTCGTATATTTCTGCTTGCTACACACACTGGTCTCTCACCCCTTATAACTCTTCATGTCGTTCCCATTTTACCCCTTTTTGCCATTTTCTTCTCACCACTTGGAGGATAATACTGTACAGTTGTCATTAAGCCAGCCAACACTGTGTCCTTATGAGGTGGAATGCTAATGCTAATCCAGCTATGATCATTCAACAAGGAGCCCATTGTTAGATAACACTCAACAAAGTAAGCTTGGCTCACGCCACTCAAGCCACATGCACAGCTGCAGTCGTGTATGTGTGTGTGTGTGTGTGTGTGTGTGTGTGTGTGGCAGCTGCAGTCACACACGCATTCACAAAGGCATCCAAACACGTGCACATTCTCCTTTAAAATCACTTGTGTGTCTGTGTTCCTCTCCAGATGTGCGGGTCAGTGTTGGCAGCTGTGGTCGGCCTGGTGGGGTCTGGCTACTGTTTCGTCATGTCAGGGTTCGCCTTGGCGCAGGGTCCCCAGTGCTTTACCTCTTACGGATGGTCGTACCCCTTTGCAGACCAGTGGGGCAGGTAGGGAGATACTGTGCCGTGTGTGTGGTTGGTAGCATGAGGTTTATTTACTTCGTTTATTTATAAAGCATTTAGATTTAGTCTATAAAATGTCAGAAAATAGTGAAAAAAATCTCCATCACAATTTTTACAGTTTGCTTGTTTTGTCCCACAGTCCAAAACTCAGAGTGATTAAATTTACAATTACATAAAACAGAGAACAGGAGGGAATCCTCACATTTGAGAAGCTGAAACCAGTGGGGTCTTTTGGCATTGTAGCTTAATTAATGGCACATGACTAACTATACATTCACACCAAAAGCTTCCAAAGACGCAAAGAAGCACGACTGTCAAAAATATAAGTAGTTGCTCTAGTTGCTCATCACGTGAATCATTGAATGTTCGATCGTGCTTGTCAATTTAAAGGAGCCGCAAAGCAGAATACTGGCTTGAAAGCAGCGTAGTTGCTGCTTGCTGTTGTCCAGTCAAAAAGCTCATAGTTGGCCTACAGAAAGTTATGTTTAGTCAATGAAAACAGAAAACGTATGTCATCCCATTCAAACCAAGCAAGGAAGACTTGCATGCTACATCGCAACATTAGCCTGCAATTCTCTCCTCTATTACTAATATTACACACTTTAAAACTCACCAGACCAACCAACTACTTCCAGGACGCGGTCCCAAGCCTCATTCTTTTTATTTTGGTTTCTGTAACTGAACAGCGACACATTATAAAGGACTGAGTGGGCGCAAACACAAGTAATAAACTTCTCGATATCCATTGTCAGAACAAGTGTGCTGTAGGAACCAAAGTTACATGGCTTGTTCTCTGGGACCCGCTTCATCGTAGCACGTCAGCATTCCGACTGGTTGCAGCCGAACAGTGTCAGAGCTTATTACCATAAAGTTAAATGTGTTTTAACTCCCCTCCAGAGCCGCTCTGGTGGCTTTGGTCGCCCAAGACACGCGGCTGACAACCAGGTCGCCCAAGTCGCCGGGCTCTCATTGAAAATGAATGACTTCCTCCGCTTTGGAAGCTCTGGTCGCTTTTGGTGTGAATGTACAGTAACAAATTATCAGAGCTAGTACTGTTTAATCTTTTGATCAATAAGTTAACCATTTTGGGTCTCATTTCTGCGTAAAAGACTATCAAATAGAAAGCTAAAGTTTCACAATACAGGTTTCAGTCATTGGAGCACTCACTACACATTTCTAGTTTTACAGCCTTGTGTTTTTTCTGGAAAGTGTTTCTCGCATCACTACTGGAGCTAGTAATTCCTAACATTATTGGTACAATCAGAAAAGGCTGAATCAGGTCGGCTAGGTGTCCTCATTGAATACAATGCTAAATGGCCCATTTTAATCCAGCTAAAGTACTCAAGTATCAGCTTGGTAAGATCTAAGATCACCTGTGACAGGTAATCTCAAATAATGTGAATTTAGGGTAAAGTTATTTTGTCACCCACATCTCTAACTTGCTGTAGGTTAACCACAGTTCTAAATGAGTTTGCAAAGAGAATAAAACTGCACACAGCCATAGTAACAGTGCTTATACACCACGTAATGTTGTGTTACCATTTAATATTCATTAATGAAACAGATTTAACTGTGGATAAAACTGACTAGAAATAAACAATTTCTGCTATTGCATGTTGTAAATGACCATGGTGTAAGCGTGATGAGACACAACAAGATGCCCTAATATAGAAAACAATGGACTTTGACCCCACCTTGTTTGTTATTTTTGCATATCAGGCACCTCGTCATGTATTACTGCTTACTTGCGTCATTTAACTCATCAGTGTGCACTAAGAGATAACACTTCCCTTTACCATTTCAGCATTTTAAGAATGTAGTGCAGCTCTCTGAGTAAAGTGAGGCTGCAGTCTGTGATTAATTGTCTACTGATCTCTGTCCTTTTTCTGTATGTCCTCAGGTATCTCTTAGAACCAGAGAAGTGGTCACGGTGTCTTCAGCCAGTTCACATCGTAGAGTGGAACGTGACTCTGCTGTGCGTGTTACTGGGCCTTTCTGTGCTGGAGTTCATCATCTGTCTCTTACAGCTGGGAAACGGTTTAGTCAACGCCGTCTGTCGGCCCTGTTGCTACAAGCAGGAGTATAGTCTTAATGCTTAAATCAACATGCGCATGTATGTAGACGCAACTGCAGAGACACAAGTGCATGTTCACACATTAAAAAAAAAGAAATCACACACAGGACACTAATGGAGCCATGCATATGTGAAACTCTGCACACACAGCCTTATTACCCAGTGCTATGCATATGTGTGTGAGTACAACTTGGCCTTAGACACACTTTCTCATCCAGTATCATAAACACCTGACAGGCACGTCAGTGTAATCATGTAATTTTAACCTTTTCATTCAAAAAAAAATCTATCAGGGCCAGGCATAAGAATAAGTAAATCAGAGGAGAAGTTTTTTTGCATTACTAGAATAAAGTAAAAATGCTGAAAATAAAGTCAAACTGTCAGTATTAGTGTCAGGCACAGGGAAGAATAAATCAGGGGAGAAATTATTTTTTTAATTTTGTATTATGAGCATAATGTTGAGTTGTCGAGAATGAAGTTGAAATGCTAAGAATGAAATTGTTTTGTTGAGAATAATGTTGAACTTTCAGTATTAGTGCCAGTCAGGCGTAAGGAAAACAAATCAGAAGAGGAAGATTTTTTGCATTTTGAGAATAATGACAAAGTGTTGAGGGCAAATTTGACAAAAAAAAATCACTGCGCAGTCATCGGTGATGGTGATATTTTCTGATGTAAGTCTCAACCTTTCAAAGGCGACAGGTTATTAGTCCAGAATAATGTAAATGTGAGTGTCTCTGTCATGAACACTCAATGAAAACATAAAAAAAGATAAAATTGACTTAATTCTTGTGAAAGGAGGCATGTATGAATAATAAAGACAAAGTAGAGCATCCTTGATAATAATAATAATATTATTAGGTATATGTGACAGTAGGTTTCACTGAAGTAAGTAACAGCGTGTGAAACTTTCATGTGCCTTGCTTTGCCTTTTTCTTTAAAGAGGATGAATGACAATGCCAATGTCGCTCACTCTCTTTATTGTTATTATTGACTGTATACCTTCATAAACCCAACAACAGAACACTTCGGTTTTTATTATGTAAATAAATGATACTACAGTTTAAATCAATGTCAGTAAAATAGTACACTACAGATGGCAGCCATGTGTTGTGTGGTGTCCTTGGATCTTGGCTAACATGATTATCTTAATACACCAGGAAGTGTCCTCTCTGTGCAGTTTAATTCTTGTGGATCCAACATTTATACTTCATACACTGTGTTGCATCACGTGAGGATTACGAGCTGATTTTTGTGTGTGTGTTTGTACATTTGTTTTCATTTTCAGAGCGTTTTGTTGTAAATTGTTTTCTTTACGTCTTTTGGATGCTAGATCAGTGTTAATGGACATTTTATATATATTTTAGTGACATATTTTTATAATGTATGTTTGTTTGTGCTGCCTTGAATAAAAAATTCCATTTTGAGTATCTAGTGAGTCATTAAGTTGAAGCTGATCTTTGTCCTCTTTGTCAACAAAAACTGGTTCCACTTCATAACCAGCACATTCTCATGTGTGTCTGCATGCTTGACTCCCCTCCTGCACCTCCTCCAAACTGTTACCGTAAACAAAATGTTTCCATCCGGATTACTTTTGGCCCAACTCACTCTTACAGAGGCCATGGGTGTTTGACACAAATGAAACATTAGCTTACGTTTGATATGTCAACATGTTGGTTTGGTACATGTGGGTTCATGCAGCATGCTTGGTGTGTTGTAACTGATTCCTGGACGAAAGTTTATCTCCTGGAGTTTCCAGAGTTGCCTGTTATTGATCCATAGCCAAACTGAGTAAATGTGGCTTTGGACCCTGAGAACCAGTCCCATTACAATTAATTTTTCAGCAAATGAAACTAAATCTTACAAGGTCTTTTGACAAGGTGGCTGTGGGAAGAATATTTTTCTTTTCTCTTCATGGCACCATGTGAATAAAATTGCTTTATGTGCCTTAAAGGTCCTGTGTGAAGGATTTAGGGGGATATATTGGCAGAAATGGAATATAGTATTTCCATATTTTTTTGTGTGTATAATCACCTAAAAGTAAGAATTGTTGTGGATTTGTTATCTTAGAATGAGTTGTTTACATCTACTTAGGGAGTGGGCATAGATCTTAAAAGGAAATTTCGGTTTATATCAACCTGTCTCCTATCGTCCTAAATTTGTTTCAAGTGACTAGTGACATAAAAATAATAGTTAGCATGTTAGCCATTAGCCTAGATACAGGTGGTGCGCATAGTAGCGTCAGACCTGTTAAAATGTAAATGAACGGGCATACTTGTGCAAAGTTAGTCCACTAAACAAGCTTTATTTCCACAAAGACCGCCTCATATCGTTAGGATAAATGTCAGAGAACATATAGAAAACGACATGTAAACTTACCTTACCGGTGTGGTGCCATGTTTGTTTACCATCTAGCTCTGCTTTCCAAAGCGCGGCCGAAATATCGCGAGAACAGGCAGCAACAGCTGGAAGGCAGAACCGGACAGTAACCTAAAAAGTTCATTCATTTATTTTATGAAAGATTTATAGAATAATGGCTGACTTTTTGCCAGACTTCGACTTTGTGGAGGAGGAATTTGATTTTGCAGAGTTTTAAGGCCGCCCTTATTTATTTGAGCCAGAATACACTGATGAAGAGCTTCATGAAATTGAAGAACAGAGGAGGAGAGAGAGAGAAGCGCAACAGGTAGAGGATGAGAGAGGAGGAATGGCTGCTGCAAGGCTGGAGATTGGTGGTGTACCTGTGAATGCTGTGCCCCAGTGCCCACAGAAGAGGAATGCCTCTGTTGCAAGGAATGGGACCGGTTGCAGCCTTATTTTCAAGGTCTGGATGTGACCGAGGACGAGACACCTCCACCTGGAGTAGTATCCAGCTGGGCTTTATCTAGAGCTCGCGAGAGATCGCTGCTTGTTCTTGCTATATTTCGGCCACACTTTGGAAAGCAGAGCTAAATGGTAAACAACAAACATGGCAGCACACCGGTAAGGTAAGACAACACGTTTATATGTCGTTTTCTATATGTTCTTTGACATTTATCCTAACGATATGAGGCGGTCTTTGTGGAAAAAAAGCTTGTTTAGTGGACTAACTTTGCACTTGAAGTATGCCAGTTCACTTACGTTTTAACAGGTCTGACGCTACTATGCGCCCTGGCTGTATCTAGGCTAATGGCTAACATGCTAACTATTATTTTTATGTCACTAGTCACTTGAAACAAATTTAGGACAATAGGAGACAGGTTGAAATAAACTGAAATTTCCCTTTAATAATACCTAGATACTGGAAGGCAAAATGGCGCCTATTTAGCCCTATGGCATTGCTCGCCTGGCACATATGCCAAAAATGTTTTTGGCTGCCAGGTTTACTTATGCGGTATGCAGCCCACTGAATATGAACAGTTGGCCCGTCTGTGAGTTCCCGCTCAGCTCATACACTCTATATTGTGATGACATCATAGATTTTTTAAAATGCTTTACTAGGCTCGAGGAAATTTTACAAATACAAAACTGCCATGGATCAAAAATTCATAGTAGAAATGTTCCTAACTGACCATGTTTGCAGTTTAAGGTGAACTGTCAACAGTTTTCTTGTTTATAATAGGGATCAATGGAAAAAAAGCTTTTTGGGCCGCAGGGGATTTTTTCACTGCAAAACCATGAGTGGCCGCTGGGAAAAATTGGTTGCCGGGCAAAGCTGTTTTCCCAAGGGCCTAGGAGCAGGTCCTTGTCCATGTAGATATCCCACAAAGCTATGTTCCTATGGTAGCCCAGAAGGACGAACCAAACACTGGCTCTAGATGGGGCCACTGTTTTGTCCATTTGTTTTGAAGAGGAAGAAATCTCTGCTGATAATTTGGCTCCCGGTAAAAACCTCCTGAACGTCTGGATCTTAGTTATGAGAGAAAATGGATGAGCACAGATTAGCAGGTGCAGCGGCCTGTCTGTGACGTGCCAAACAGCATCAGTCAAACACTGAATTGTAAAGTGAACCTGCGTTATTCAGTATGTTTTAACCTAGTCCATTTGTTTTGGAGAGGAAAAGACCTCTGCGCATAATTCGGCTCCCAGTCAAAACTTCCTGAACAATGAACACTGAAGAAATTCTAACTGGTGCCTGACACATGGCAGAGGTTTCTGCTGATTGCAATCTGCAATCCTCAGTGCTACATGCCACTAAATCCTACGCACTGCTTCTTTAAAAAAATCACCAACCTATTTTGAAAGTAGAATGAATTGGTCTTTACTTTTATTAAGGAGGTAGATGGAAGTAATGCAGAATTAGTGTTAGGTAATTAAACTACTTAAATGTGTTGGATGCATTAAGTTCATTAGGACAAATGCAAATTTTAATTAGGAAATCATAATTTTTCAGTGTCTTCTTCAGTTGTTTGCATTAAACATTGGACAGCAGTATCGACTGGATCAAAAGTCAGAGTGCTTTCATCACTAGTTAAACATGACTACAGCTCTGATTTTCTATATTCCAACTAAAAGGAGATAACAACATGAAGTCTAATGTAAATTTAATCTCATCATGTTTGGACAATAAAATGCTGACATTGCAAAGGAAAAGAATTTTCAGTTCTATGCAAGTCTAACCTTTTGATCCTACTCCGTCTCTTACCGCTCTGATTGGTTGAACCCTGTCTGTTGGTCAGTGACCCCTCTGCCCTGGCTGTTCCCAGCAGTCAGTTGACGGAGTATAAAGACAAATAGAGGGTCTAAAGTCTCTCAGACAGACTGACTAACAGCTGTCAGTTGTCTGCACTGTTTGACTTCATCATTCTCATCAGCTGGATCACTAACTAGAAATTAAAAATCCATCTTCTTCCTTGGCTCTTTCAAAGTGGACTTGTAGTTGGTGAAGCCAACTGAGGCCAGAGCTGCGTCTTAAAAATGCATCGGTGGGGATTGAAGGAAGTGTTGCTGCTGTGTTGGGCAGCAGTATGTGTGTCTGGGATGACGAGAACCTACTTCATCAGGATTGAGGAGGTGTCTTGGAACTACGCTCCAAGTGGGATGAACATCATTCAGAACCGCACACTGCAGGAGGATGAGTGAGTACATGCACAGTACATTGTCTTGATTCAGTTGGAGTCAGTCAAACAGCCCTAATTGCTCTGGAGCTCGTCCAAAATGCAGCAGCAAGACTGCCAAGAGAAGAAACCTTGGGTCCTACTTAAAGGATCTATAGCATATGATGTAGAATGTATGATGCAATTTAGGACATGTCCAACCACCTATACTTGTTAAACGGTGCATAATCTGGGCACAAAGTAAGGAGCAAGAGGCAAAGGGGTTGTATTTAGCTCCTTCATTAATCATAGTTGTCTTTTGGGTGTAACATGAATTGAACCAGTCAGAGTGTCATGTCTTAAATGCCTGGTGCACCTGCACCTAGCTCATTGCTATTTACATGGCAGATTTGGCAAACTGGAGAATTGAGTGGTTTTGCAGTAAGAGCAGTAATGTCCCTGCAGCAAATATTGTGTGTGACATCTAAGCAGCAAAAACTGTTCACCAGCAAGGACCATGCCACAACAATATGTTATTTAAAGGTTCAATTGTAATTCAGGAGGTGTTAGTTGTTGAGGACTGATGAATGGATGTAAGTGGGGGTGAAGGTGGTAGAGGGATGTCTTCTGTTAGGTTGGTCTGGGAGGATGCACTGAAGATCCGGCAGAGGGAGACTCAGTGTGGGGGTTCCGTCTCAGGCGTTTTTGCTGCCTGAGCTGGTTACAGGCCCCCAGACGGTACCTAGAATGAGACATCGGAGAGGTATGCACCTGATTGAATAAGAAGAGATGAGGGGAGAAGGGAAGAAAGGATGAAGGAATGTGGGCTGGGAAAAGCAGAAAGAAGGATGGGGTTGGGATTAGGTAGGGAGGATAATGGATGAAAGGAGGGGAAAAGGAGGGTGGGTGGAGAATCTGAGACAAACAGAGCAGGATACGTTGACAAGGTATAAGTAGGCTTGGCAGGTAATCAGAGGTGTGGCTAACTTGTCGCCCTGCTCCTGAACCTAAGTAATAAAGTTTCGCTGCTCCACATGTGTAAATGGACACAGTGTCTCTCTTACTGGGGAGTTGGAAAGCAGCTCTGCTCTGCTCTCTGCTACATTCACATATCAGAGAATGTAAATAATATTTTCCTCATTAATAACTTATGATTTCACCCACCTGCAACCCATCTGCATCTTCCTATGTGTGTAACAAGAAGAGTGTATGCATGTTGTGAACCTTCCTATGCAGGCATGTCTCACCACCTGAATAATAAACCCTTTTAGTAGCAGGAAAATACTGCGCCATTCTGACTTCAGACCAGGCTCTTGTTGGTAAATGGTGCAATTGCTTTTTGCTGCCTCAGAATAGTAGCCACCACCAATGTGCCTGACCAAACCTCATTCCAAGACCTACACCTGCTCCTTACA